CCTTCCGATATGAGGAAGCCACTGCGAACTTCGCACTTTGAAATCATTTCTGTGCAACTGCTTTTTTGTGTTCTTTGGGTCTTTCAGTGAAGTCACGTAGACAGGTTCAAAGAAAATAAGAGCAAAAACTACGACGTTTCGATCGCAACACAAGCGGTCGCCTTCAGGATTCCTGCAGTCACGAAAGCTTCAAGTCAAGATTTGCTTTTTTTGTGTTTACTTTGTTGCCCTTCCCCCGCACCTCCGAATAGCACGGTTGGCTATGTACGGTGTGAAACAAGTTCAGCACACGTACACTGCCGATCTCGTCAAGGAGCGTAAACCATTGTCACGCGAACGCCGCTCATCCTCGCAGTGGCGTTAGGCGAGCGATTGAGCAAAGACGGTGGTCACCGCATGCGCTTCTGCGGCCGTCTGGAACGCTCTTTCCTTGAGATATTAGGAGGCCGCTGGAGCTACGCACTTTGAAATCATCATCATCATCCCGATGGATAAACTTTCCCTGCACCTTCGATTAGCGTGGTTGGCTACGTGCATAAAAACTACTGCACGTGACTGTATACTACACTACTATACACTACACTGCTATACTCTATATACTACACCGTGCTACCCACCACACTATACACTACTATACACAACACCACTATACTAGATTGACAAACTCATTTCTTTAGAACTGCTTTTTTGTGTTTAGTTTGTTGACCAGCCCCCGCACCCTCTGACTAGCGCGGTTGGCTACGTATGGTACGAAAGAAGTTCAACCATACAATACACCCTCCCACCCAGTAATGCAGCACTGGAGGCAGCAGCGAGGGTTAGTGGACCACAATAAGACAACAAAGATCCCCCGCATGGCCTTAACAGACTGTTGGGGAAATTTCTGTTAGCGATTTGCACCTACGAAGGCCGGCAAGGCACATAGGGTCGGTGGCCAGCACCACACCTGGCCGCCTTTGTCTCCCTAGTAGCGATGTTTACACACCGCACCGGGTACTCATTTGAGGCTGAGTCGACCTAGAGGTGGCCCAGGACTGGTTCAGACATTCGCCACTGGTCTTGGACGTGAGCGGGAATCGGACTCGGGTCGCCGAGTATTTGTCGAGCTACACTATGAGTGGATCGTACACACACAAGCACACGCACACACGCGCGCGCACACTACACACACCCATGATGGTGAAACTCCCCACCCGCGGAAGTCGAGGTCGCCGCCGCCTCCTGGCTCATGGCCAGGGCACGATGATGGCAGCACAGCAAGTGGGTTAATTCCCAACTGTACGGGGATTCAGCGCCGGTTCTGGCCACCTTCCCACGCTCGTCTGTGAATTCCCGCGCACCGTGAATCGTTCCGTCTTCCACTCTTCCTCCCGGCTCCGCTGGTTTTCCACCCACACGCATGGACCCTCATTCGTCGGCTGAAAAAATCTGAATGTGCGGAGGACCCACAGAACTTGGGGCGTTTGTTGGTCGTCCCGGTGGCTTCTCCTCGGCCTCGCCAAAGGCCTCGCCACGACCGGCCGAATTTGAGCCGAAGCAGAAGCGCTTGAAGGCCGAGTTGCGGTGGCGTGGGTGGCGGTGGCCGGCTGACGTGGCAACGGGTGGTCGGTTGCCAACGCCGGTTCCTGAATCGCGAGGTCTCTCCCCCCCCCCATCACCACGACGCTGGTGGCGGGGGACGTCGGCCGCATTTCGTGTCCCGACGGCCGAGCGGGGGGGCCGTGGCATCACCGTGGAAACGGGAGCGTGTCGACGACACTACGAACCCCGGCGACGATGAGTTCCAATTCCCGCTCGTAGCCGACAGTCGGTGACGAATATCTAAACCGGTCCCTGGGCTGCCACTGGGTCGACTCAGAATTTAAAATGAACACCTTGTGCGGTGTGTCTAAAACGTGGGCGCTGGGGAGAGGAGAAAGTTGGGCCGGCGTGGTGTGGAACTCGCGGCGCGATGATCCGCTGGTGCCACCACACACTTGCTCCGAGCTCTGCGGTCCTCTGCATGTGAAGATGTTTTCCGCCAATTAATGAATGATGATACACGCGCGGGAGGAGGCCTGAGCGGCGGGAGAGAACCCCCCGCAATGCGAAGGGTCCACAGTGCTCTGTCCCCGTGCAGATGGAAACGGATGGAGATGAGTCCCCACTTCAGAATCGGACTCTTTGATTCAGACCGCGGGGGGGAATCCGATGAGCTATGAAGCTCATTTGTCACAGATTTACAATATGGGGCACGGGGTCAGAAAGTTACGACAACAAACAATTCAAACACACGGTAGTAGTGCAAAGCAGATAGAAGGTTGACAAATCTGGTTGTCGCCTGATGAAGCTATTTGTAATTACGGGCGAAACGTCGGACTGAGATTGTAAACGTTATGGCTTGGCTCTCTAACACACTACCGATGTGCTGTACTAGTATACTACACTATACACTACACTATACACTACACTATACACTAGTGCTGTACTAATGTACTACACTATACACTACACTATATACTAGTGCTGTACTAGTACCCTACACTATACACTACACTACACTATACACTACACTACACACTACACTATACACTAGTGCTGTACTAGTATACTAAACTATACACTACACTCGTGCTGTACTAGTATACTACACTATATACTACACTATACACTACACTATACACTAGTGCTGTACTAGTATACTACACTATACACTAGTGCTGTACAAGTATACTACACTATACACTACACTATCCACTAGTGCTGTACTAGTATACTACACTATACACTACACTATACACTAGTGCTGTACTAGTATATTACACTATACACTACACTATACACTACACTATACACTCGTGCTGAACTAGTGTACTACACTATACACTAGTGCTGTACTAGTACACTACACTATACACTACACTATTCACTCGTGCTGTACTAGTATATTACACTATACACTACACTATACACTACGCTATACACTAGTGCTGTGCTAGTGACGAATTGTCACGTTCTGTTTACGTGACAAACCTTACCAATTGGCCGTGTCGGGTGGTGGCGGTTTTAACGACACAACATTTATATACTTACGCGATCTAATCCAAAAAGCTCTATTATGGATGATATTGGTCGCGAAAGCCTCCTACGCCTTAAACTGACGCGCTCCCTTTCCATGGCGATGCCCCCCCCCCCGCTCGGCCGTTGGGACAAGAAACGCGGTCGACGGCCCCCCCCCCTCCCCGCCACCAGCGTCGTGGTGATGGAGGGGGGCCCCCCCAGGACAAATTACAGAAGTACAACAATTCCTGCCGCTATATCAACGGCAAAAGCTCAGGGCTGTGGCAGCACAACAACAACAGCGGCAGTCCCAGCAGTGTATCGTGGTGTAGTGTATTATTGTTATTATAATGTGTAGTAGTAATCTCTCTCCCTAATCTCTCTTTCCCTAATCTCACCCATTAACATTGTGAGACCTCCTTTGCCAGTAACAAGATATAGTAATAGGTTTTCACCCTTTTATCTGGCACAAAAACTGACACCTTTATACGAGGTATCATGTTGAGTTTGTTAATCTAGTTGTTGTTGTGCAAACATGATCCCTTGTATAAAGGTGTCAGTTTTTGTGCCAGATAAAAGGGTAAAAACCTATTACTACTCCCCCATTAACACAACTGGACGTGCTTGCGTCCGGGGATGGAATTCCTTTCCAGCTCAGGCCCCGCCTGCTTGTCTATCGCCACATAAATAACCTCCTTGTTGTAACAGCTCTCTCGCTGGTTCAGCAGTAGCACTGCTGGATTATTTTTTTTCCCACCTGAGGACGACCGCTTGTGTTGCGATCGAAACGTCGTGGTATCGTTTTAATTTTTTTTAATTTTTATACCTACGGGACTTTACCGAAATAACCAAAGAGTACAGTAGTATGTATGGAGAACTTTTTTCGCGCACCGTACGTAGCCAACCGCGCTAGTCGTGGGTGCGGGGGAAGGACAACAAACTAAACACAAAAAGCAGTTCTAACGAAATGAGTTTGTTAATCTAGTATAGTGGCTTAGTGTACAGTCGTGTAGAGGCGTGGTGAGCAGCATAGTGTAATATGCAGTTTGTCCATCTAGACGATTTAAAAGTGCATCGCCCCAGTGGCTTCCGAATATCGGAAGGAAGAGCGTTCCAGACGGCCGCAGAAGCGCATCCGAAAGCGCCGCGCGATGCGGTCACCGCCGTTTTCGTTCGATGGCTTCGCCAAAAGCCGCCGTCGCTGCGAGGATGTGCGGAGTTTGCGTGATGACGGTTCGTCGCTCCTTGAGACGAGATCAGCAGCGAGGTGATTGTGAATCACGTGTGGCCAGCACTTTGTGTGTTATGAGTGTTGACCTTAAAACGACGTATTCGTTCAGGCAACGAAAAGCCGATGCAGCCAGCTCGACACGCGCCGTCGAATGTTGTACACGCTGCAGCTTGGTGATGGTTTTTTTTATTGTTTGCGTGATCCACCAACCGTCACTGCTGCCTTAACAGTGCCGGATTTGTGGGCTGTATTGTTGTCTGACTGTTGGGAAATGTGTATGTGATGTGTTTGCTTGGGGGTGACTAGTGGTGTGTGTGTGTGTGTGGATGGGTGTAGTTTTGTGTGTGTGTGTGGGTTTAGTTTTGTGTGTGTGTGGGTTTAGTTTTGTGTGTGTGTGCGTGTACGTGGAGTAATGTGCGTACTTGAGTGTGACTGAAGTGATGTTTGTGTGCATGGTTACCAGTGTGTGGGTGTGCTCTTGTCAAGAAGGCCTGTTGGTGCATCTCCTGTGCAACTATGCACCGCCGCGTGTGTCACCGCCGTGTGTCACCGCCACGTGTGTCACCGCCGTGTGTCACCGCCGCGTGTGTCACTCCCCTCCCCCCCCCCCGCCGCCATGTGCAACATTCATGCCCGCCACTGCCCCACGTGTGCCACCACCGCGTGCCCTGCCCGTGCCCCTGCCCTCACGTCTCACTTCCCCGCGTGCCACCGCCGCGTGCCACCGCAGGTGTGCCCCGGCGTGGGCGAGGGTGGCACCGTGGCGGTGCCGGAGACGCTGCTGTTTGTCTCCACGCTGGACGGCAGCATGCACGCCGTCTCACGCCTCACCGGCGCCGTCAAGTGGACCCTCAAGGAAGGTGGGCATGGGCTGGGCACCGGTGGGGGCCAGGGGGCACCGGTGAGCACCGGTGAGCACTATTGGGCGCCGGTGGGCATCGGGGGGTACCGGGGGGTGCCGGTGGGCACTGGTGTGCACTGGTGGGCGCCAGGGGGCACCGGTGGGCATCGGGGGGTACCGGTCGGCGCCAGTTGCCCAACAGCAAGAGGGGGCCTGAGTTTGAGTCCCGACTCAGTGACGATTATCTGAATTAGTCCTGGGCCTCCCCTAGGTCGACTGAGCCTCAAATTATTACCCAGTGCAGCCAGGCGTGGTGTTGGCCACCCACCTCGTGTGCCGTGCCAGCCTTCATAGGTGCTCGCTAGCAGCACTTGCCCCGACAGCCTGTCAAAGGCTATACGAGGATCTTTGTCTTTGCTGTCTTACAGAGGCCGTGCTGCAGGTGCCCGTTCATCTTGCCGAGTAAGTGGCTCACCTCACGTCACCCCCTCGCGTCTCTCCACGTTTGTGCATCCCATGCCCGTGTTTCGTGTGCGTGTTGGACTTCTGTTCCACCGTACGTAACCAACCGTGCGAATCGGAGTTGCGGGGGGAAGGGCATCAAACTAAAACGCAAAAAGCAGTTTCAAAGAAACGAGTTTGTCAATGTAGACGATTTAAAAGTGCACAGCTCCAGTGGCTGCCTATAACATCGGAAGGAAGAGCGTTCCAGACGGCCGCAGAAGCGCATCCGAAAACGCCGCGCGATGCGGTGACCACCGTCTTTGTTCGACGGTTAGAGCCATAAGCCCCTGCAGCGAGGATGAGCGGACTTTGCATGACGGACTACGCGCCATGTTTCCCAACCTTTTCAATAGCTCATGGGCACAAGTGATAAGTGAGGCCTAACACCATAGCAAAGCCTAGGGCCTTACCTGGTCACCCTACCGGCTTTGCATCAGCACTTCCAGGCCCACGAGAAACACAATTTGTACCCCTCGGCTTCATCTTTTGCGAATGAAATGCGTCCGGAGACAAACGCATGTCGTGAAGAGTATTTGGCTGCGGCCATTAATTTCCACGTGATGATGATGATGCTAAGCCACTTCGTAGGGCTATCACTAGTAGCCAGGTCACTTCTGAAAAAGAGCAACACAGCTCAGTGGACTTTACCTGTTAAAATCAAAATAATTTAACTTAAGTTTTTAATTGGATATCCACACGTTCGGGTTAAGGTACGATGCAGACACAAGGACAGGAACCACCCACGAATGCCTTCTATAAATGCCCATGTGGTGATGCCGATGAGGACGATGGAGATGGGCCGCTTTTTTGGGCTTACCCATCGCGTGTGGCAAGGTCGCTTCTGAAAAAAACCGCAGATACAGTCGGTGGGCCTTCTTAACCTGGTAACAAAAACAAATAATTAAACAATCAAAGATCGCCGTTAAAGCGAAGGGAATTGCAGTGGACGTGGGCAGTAGGAAACTGCTGACAAGAGGCGAAACTCACTCGTGCCAGAGTGAAGGAATAGGCATGGGGTAGAGGAGCGGAGAGTGAGATGGAGCGGACCTCCCCGGGTGTTCGAAGTTCCGCGGCTGGGCCGGGAGCAGCTGGGAATACGGGAAAGAATTCCGGAGGCCTTGGTCCAGCTGTTTAGTTTATTGCCCCCCCCCCCCCCCCCCGCGCGCACCTCCGATTAGCACGGTTGGCTACGTATGGTGCGAAAGAAGTTCTACATACATACTTACTTCGCTATATACTACTATACACTACGCCCACTAGGCACACTACACTATACACTACAATATACACTACACTACTATACACTGCACTGTACACTACTATACACTACACTATAAACTACAATACACTACACTATACACTACATTCGTATACAGCACACTGCACACTCCACCACTATACTATATTAAAAACAAATTTCTTTAGAACTACTTTGTGTGTTTAGTTTGTTGTCCTTCCCCCACACCTCCGATTAGCACGGTTGGCTATGTACGGCGTGAAAAAAGTTGTACATAAATACTACACTATACACTACTATACACGACGCACAGTATGCTATACACTACACTATACATTACTATACACTACTATACACTACACGAACTACATTATACACTACAGTATATATACACTATACACTACACTACGGCACTATACTATATTGAAAACGAATTACTTTAAGAGCTGCTTTTTGTGTTTAGTTTATTGTCCTTTCACCGTGCGTCCAAGTTCAACGTACATATATATACATACCACGATAACAACAGCAGCAGCCACCACCACGATGGCGACGATGGCGGCGGCGACGATGATGACGACGGGCCACGCGTGTGCACGTTTTTACCTCCTTGTTCTGTGTGCGCCCAGACCCGCGTTTCTGCCGGACCCTAGCGATGGCAGCCTCTACACGCTCGGGGGGAAACACGGCGAGGGACTCGCCGTGAGTGGCTCACCCTCACGCATCCTCGCTCCTCACCTCACGTCGCTCACCGCCCTACACCCAGCGCCCTACACCCACCGCTCTACACCCACCGCCCTACACCCACCGCTCTACACCCACCGCCCTACACCCACCGCCCTACACCCACCGCCCTACACCCACCGCTCTACACCCACCGCCCTACACCCACCGCTCTACACCCACCGCTCTACACCCACCGCCCTACACCCACCGCTCTACACCCACCGCTCTACACCCACCGCCCTACACCCACCGCCCTACACCCACCGCCCTACACCCACCGTTCTACACCCACCGCCTTACACCCACCGCCCTACACCCACCGCCCTACACCCACCGCTCTACACCCACCGCCCTACACCCACCGCCCTACACCCACCGCCCTACACCCACCGCTCTACACCCACCGCCCTACACCCACCGCCCTACACCCACCGCCCTACACCCACCGCCCTACACCCACCGCCCTACACCCACCGCTCTACACCCACCGCCCTACACCCACCGCCCTACACCCACCGCCCTACACCCACCGCCCTACACCCACCGCCCTACACCCACCGCTCTACACCCACCGCCCTACACCCACCGCCCTACACCCACCGCCCTACACCCACCGTTCTACACCCACCGCCTTACACCCACCGCCCTACACCCACCGCCCTACACCCACCGCTCTACACCCACCGCCCTACACCCACCGCCCTACACCCACCGCTCTACACCCACCGCCCTACACCCACCGCTCTACACCCACCGCCCTACACCCACCGCCCTACACCCACCGCCCTACACCCACCGCCCTACACCCACCGCTCTACACCCACCGCTCTACACCCACCGCCCTACACCCACCGCCCTACACCCGCCACCCTACACCCACCGCCCTACACCCACTGCCCTACACTCAACGCTCACTGCTGGACCCTCACCACTCCTCTCCCCTCACTCCTCAACGCTCACCACTTACCGCTCTACCCTCACCAATCTACCCTCACCGCTCTCCCCTCTTCCCCGTCCCCCGCTCTCGGTCTGTGCGTCGTGGGGAGTGACACGAGACCCTCGCTTAAATGTACCCGTCATGCCGTGCGTCCCCTCCATGCCGTGCGTCTCCGTGATGTCGCGTGTCGGTGCCATGCCGCGTCTCTCCACCGTGCCGCGTGTCCATGCCTTGCCGCGCGTCTCCGCCGTGGTGAGCAGAAGCTGCCATTCACCATCCCGGAGCTGGTGCAGGCGTCTCCGTGCCGCAGCAGCGACGGCGTGCTCTACACCGGTACGCGCCGCACGCCGGCCCTCGCGCCGGGCCTGGTTGCTGGCTCACGTTGTTTTTTCCTTGTTCTCGTCGTCGCTGTGGTGGTCGTCGTCGTCGTTGCAGTTGTAGTTGTTGTTGTGGTTGCTGTTGCCGGTCCGTGTGTGACGGAGTCGACGTGCTGTTATTGTTATTGGCGTGGTTGGGGGGCGCGCGTTGACCCCGTGCGCGTTGACCCCGTGAGCATTGACCCCGTGAGCATTGACCCCGTGTAGGCAGGAAGGTGGACGCGTGGTACGTGGTGGACCCCACCACGGGTGAGAAGCAGCAGACGCTCACCACGGCCGTCCCCGTCAACGTGTGTCCCTCCTCACCACTCCTCTACATCGGCCGCTCTGGTACCAAACCGCATAACACACCACACAACACACCACACTATACACCACACTATACACCACACTACACACTACACTACACACCACACTGCACACTACACTATACACCACAAAACACACCACACTACACACCACACTGCACACTACACTATACACCACACTATACACCACACTATACATCACACTACACACTACACACCACACTGCACACTACACTATACACCACACAACACACCACACTACACAACCACACTACACACCACACTACACACCACACTACACACTACACACCACACTATACACCACACTACACACCACACTACACACCACACTACACACCACACTACACACCACACTACACACCACACTACACACCACACTACACACCACACAACACACCACACTACACACCACACTACACCCACACTACACACCACACTATACACCACACAACACCACACTATACACCACACTCTACACCACACCACACAACACACCACACTACACACCACACTACATACCACACAACACACCACACTACACACCACACTACACACCACACAACACACCACACTACACACCACACTACACACCACACTACACACCACACAACACCACACTATACACCACACTCTGCACCACACCACACAACACACCACACTACACACCAGACTACACACCACACAAGACAACACACCACACAACACACCACACTATACAACACACCACACTACACACCACACTACACACCACACTACACACCACACAACACACCACACAACACAACACACTATACACCACGCAACACACCACACTACACACCACGCAACACACCACACTATACACCACACAACACACCACACAACACACCACATTACACACCACACAACACACTACACACCACACTATACACAGTGTATGGGTCTGCATCGAGTACATGGTGAGACAGTGTGTCTGTGTGTATCTATCTGTCTGTGTGTGTCTTTGCGTAGAGTACACGGTGAGACACAGTGTGTCTGTGTGTGCGTCTGTCTTTGTGTGTGTGTGTCTGCGTCGAGTACACGGTGACGCACAGTGTGTTTGTGTGTGGGTGTATCTATCTTGTCTGTGTGTCTGCGTCGAGTACACGGTGAGACACAGTGTGTCTGTGTGCGTGTGTCTGTCTGTGCATGTGTCTGTGCGTAGAGTACACGGTGGCGCACAGTGTGTCTGTGTTTGTGTGTGTGTCTTTGCGTAGAGTACACGGTGACGCACAGTGTGTCTGTGTGTGTGCCTGTGCGTAGAGTACACGGTGACGCACAGTGTGTCTGTGTGTGTATCTATCTGTCTGTGTGTGTCTGCGTAGAGTACACGGTGACGCACAGTGTGTCTGTGTGTGCGTCTGTGTCTGTGTGTGTGTCTGTGCGTAGAGTACACGGTGACGCACAGTGTGTCTGTGTCTGTGTGTGTGTCTGTGCGTAGAGTACACGGTGACGCACAGTGTGTCTGTGTGTGTGTGTCTGTGTGTGTGTCTGTGCGTAGAGTACACGGTGACGCACAGTGTGTCTGTGTGTGCGTCTGTCTGTGTGTGTGTCTGTGCGTAGAGTACACGGTGACGCACAGTGTGTCTGTGTGTGTCTGTGTGTGTGTCTGTGCGTAGAGTACACGGTGACTCTGTACGACACGGCGACGCGCGAGGTGCGTTGGAACGCCACCTACTACGACTACTCGGCCAGTCTACCCGACGTGGAGGCGCAGCAGCAGCACTGTACAAACTACACACTCACTCTCACGGCAACGTCACAACGCGACATCGTGTTGCCAGAACGTACAAAGTCCACTCGCTCACTCTCACTCTGCAGAACAGGGGGAGAGGCATCATACCAACACCACTCATTCTCACTCTACAGAACAGGGGGAGAGAGATCATACAAACTCCTCTCACTCTACATAACAGGGGTACAGAGGTCATACAAACTCCACTCTCTCACTCTGCAGAACAGGGGGACAGAGATTATACAAACTCCTCTCACTCTACATAACAGGGGGAGAGAGATCATACAAACTCCTCTCACTCTACATAACAGGGGGAGAGAGATCATACAAACTCCTCTCACTCTACAGAACAGGGGGAGAGAGATCATACAAACTCCACTCACTCTCACTCTACAGAACAGGGAGAGAGAGATCATACAAACTACACTCACTCTCACTCTGCAGAAAAGGGGGACAGAGAGATCATACAAACTCCACTCTCACTCTACATAACAGGGGGAGAGAGATCATACAAACTCCACTCACTCTCACGCTACAGAACAGGGGGAGAGAGATCATACAAACTCCACTCACTCTACATAACAGGGGGAGAGAGATCATACAATCTCCTCTCACTCTACAGAACAGGGGGAGAGAGATCATACAAACTCCACTCACTCTCGCTCACCCACAGACACACTCACGCAAAGATCCCCCTTAAGTGCTGTTAGCGAGTAGCAGCGCCTATGAAGGCCGGCACGGCGCACGAGGTGGTGGGTGGCCACAACGCACCGGGTGTTGGTGCCGCCGGGTCCGTAGAGCATCGCGCAAAGCGCAGCGCCGCCACTCCGCAAAAAACGCACGCGCACTTACGCACGGTCGAGTGTCGTTACACCCTCGCATTATCGGGTCGCGCTCAACACACACAATGCCCTTGCCGCGAATGAACCACCGTGCCTTGCCGATCTCGTCAAGGAGCGTAAACCATCGTCACGCGAACGCCGCTCATCCTCGCAGTGGCGTTAGGCGAGCGATTGAGCAAAGACGGTGGTGGTCACCGCATGCGCTTCTGCGGCCGTCTGGAACGCTCTTTCCTTGAGATATTAGGAGGCCGCTGGAGCTACGCACTTTGAAATCATCATCATCCCGATGGATAAACTTTCCCTGCACCTTCGATTAGCGTGGTTGGCTACGTGCATAAAAACTTCTGCACGTGACTGTATACTACACTACTATACACTACACTATACACTACTATACGCTGCACTACTATACACTACACTACTATACACTACACTATACACTACTATACACTAAACTACTGTACACTACACTACTATACACTACATTATACACTACTATAGACTACACTATACACTACTATACGCTACACTACTATACACTACACTATACACTACTATACACTACACTATACACTACACCATACACTACTATACACTATACACTACTATACACTACACTATACACGACTATATACTACACTATACACTATACTATACACTATACTATACACTACACTATACACTACTATACACTACACTATACACTACTATACACTACACTATACACTACTATATACTACACTATACACTACTATATACTACACTATACACTACACTACTATACACTACTATAGACTACACTCTATACTGCTATACACTACACTACTATATACTACACTACTATATACTACACTATACACTCCACTATACCCTACATTATACACTTCACTCCTATACACTCCACTACTATACACTCCACTAATATATACTACACTATACACTCCACTCCTATACACTCCACTACTATACACTCCACTAATATATACTACACTATACACTCCACTACTATACACTCCACTAATATATACTACACTATACACTCCACTCCTATACACTCCACTACTATACACTCCACTAATATATACTACACTATACACTCCACTACTATACACTACACTATACACTACACTACTATACACTACACTACTATACACTCTACTACTATACACTCCACTACTATACACTCCACTAATATATACTACACTACTATATACTGCACTATACACTACACTACTATACACTACACTATACACTACACTACTATACACTACACTACTATACACTACACTATCCACTCCACTACTATACACTACACTACTATTTACTGCACTATACACTACACTACTATACACTCTACTACTATACACTCTACTACTATACACTACTATACACTACACTACTATACACTACACTATACACTACTATACACTCTACTACTATACACTCTACTACTATACACTCCACTACTATATACTGCACTATACACTACACTACTATACACTACACTATACACTACACTAATATACACTACACTACTGTACACTACACTACTATACACTACACTACTGTACACTACACACTCCAATTAGCACGGTTACCTACGTACGGTGCGAAAGAAGTCAAACACAGGCACATGCATGCTCGGCAGGCCCCCTCGCGACAACGCAGGCCGCCTTCCCCCCCCACGTCCCAACCCACCCGCGTCTCGTGCCCCCCCGCTCGCAGCGCTGGTGCACTTTGCGTCGAGCGGCGACGGGCTGGTGGTGTCGGTGGACGGCGACACGGGCCAGGTGGCGTGGGCCCGCGACTTCGGCTCGCCGGCCGTGGGGCTGTACGCGTGGAGCGGCAGCGCGCTGCGCCGCGTGGCGCGCACCGCCGTCGCCGCCGAGACGCTGCGCTTCCTCACCTTCATGTCGGGCGACGCGGGCCGCATCACGCGCTGGAAGTACCCCTTCCCGCTGGGGCCCGCCAACACCAAGCTGCTGTGAGCGAAGCACGGCAGCGGCGCACACGCGGCAGCACGCGGCAGGGCACACGGCACACGCGGCAGTGAACACGGCACACGCAGCAGTGTACACAGCAGCACGCAGCAGTGTACACGGCACACGCAGCAGGGCACACCGCACACGCAGCAGTGTACACGGCAGCACGCAGCAGTGAACACAGCACACGCAGCAGTGAACACGGCAGCACGCGGCAGTGAACACAGCACACGCAGCAGTGAACACGGCAGCACGCGGCAGTGAACACGGCACACGCAGCAGTGTACACAGCACACGCAGCAGTGTACACAGCAGCACGCAGCAGTGAACACGGCACACGCAGCAGGGCACACCGCACACGCAGCAGTGTACACGGCACACGCAGCAGTGAACACGGCACACACAGCAGTGAACACAGCACACGCAGCAGGGCACACCGCACACGCAGCAGTGAACACGGCACACGCAGCAGGGCACACCGCACACGCAGCAGTGAACACAGCACACGCAGCAGTGAACACGGCACACGCAGCAGTGCACACAGCACACGCAGCAGTGCACACAGCACACGCAGCAGTGTACACGGCACACGCAGCAGTGAACACAGCACACACAGCAGTGAACACAGCACACGCAGCAGTGAACACGGCACACGCAGCAGTGAACACAGCACACGCAGCAGTGAACACAGCACACGCAGCAGTGAACACAGCACACACAGCAGTGAACACAGCACACGCAGCAGTGAACACAGCAGTGTACACAGCGCATGCAGCAGTGCACACAGCACACGCGGCAGTGCATGCAGTGCAGCAGCGCACGCAGCAGCTCACACAAATTTACAGGACAAGATATGTTTTCGTGCGCGATTGGGTCAAGCGTTGATTCAATCGAAGCCCGACTCTGCCGCTGATGAGACGCTGAATGTCGAAACCGGCGCAGAGTTTTGTTCGTCTTGAATCAATGCTGCCGCTGAAATGCTGCACTCCCAGGAGGCCGTGCGTGCGGCTGATGGGACGTGTAAGATGCGTTTCGTCTGCCCCTCTTGTTTAGTTTGGGATGGAGCCGCCCTCCCGCACGCCCTTTGCATCGCCTCTCAACAACACGTTTCAGAGGGCACATCGGCTGTGCCGGCCCTCATCGGTTCTACTCGCTAGCAGCACTTGCCCCAACAGTCTGTCAAATGCTATATGGGCGACCTTTGTCTTTGTGTGTGTGCAGACCGACCCTGTACGTGGGGAAGTACTCGCGCAGCCTGTACGCGTCGCCCTCGCTCGTCCATGAGGGCGTGTCTGTCGTGGTGAGCCTCGTCGCTCACCATCCCCGCTCTCACCCACCCACCACCCACGTGCCCACCCACCACCCGCTCGCCCACTCTCTCACCTGCCCCGCTCGCCCACCCACTCTCCTTTATTCCCACCCGCGTGCTCACCCACCCACGCACCACCCGCTCACCCACTCTCTCACCCACCACCCGCTCGCCCACCCACCACCCGCTCGCCCACCCACCACCCGCTCGCCCACCCACCACCCGCTCACCCACCCACCAGCCCTGCTCACCCACCCACCACCCGCTCACTCACTCTCTCACCAGACCCGCTCGCCCACCCACCACCCGCTTGCCCACCCTTTTACCCACCCTGCTTGCCCACCGGCTCGCCCACCCACTCGCCTTAATTCCCACCCGCGTTCTCACCCACACACGAACCGCCACATTGGTTGCTCACACGCGCACACTCAACCACGCACGCTCCGCGTGTGTCTCGCTCTCTGCGTGTGTCACGCTCTGCGTGTCTCGCTCTGCGTGTGTCGCTCCGCGTGTGTCTCGCTCTTCGTGTGTGTCTCGCTCTGCGTGTGTCACGCTCCGCGTGTGTCACGCTCTACGTGTGTCACGCTCTGCGTGTGTCTCGCTCTACGTGTGTCACGCTCTGCGTGTGTCTCGCTCCGCGTGTGTCACACGCGCTGTGTGTGTCACGCTCTGCGTGTGTGTCTCGCTCCGCGTGTGTCTCGCTCCGCGTGTGTGTCACGCGCTGTGTGTGGCCTTAACATGCACATATCCTGGCCCAAGCACCGTGACGTCACCGCCACTTAGTGGCAAATAGCGGTTGTTGTGAGTGTCACGCATTGTGTGTGTGTTTCACGCTGTGTGTGTGTGTGTCACACGCTGTGTGTGTGTCACACGCTGTGTGTGTGTCACACGCTGTGTGTGTGTGTGTCACATGCTGTGTGTGTGTCACACGCTGTGTGTGTGTGTGTCACACGCTGTGTGTGTGTGTGTCACACGCTGTGTGTGTGTGTGTCACACGCTGTGTGTGTTTGTCACACAGCCGAGGGGCCGGCCCCTGCCCCTGCTGGAGGGCCCCGTGCCGGACCATCTGACGTCGCCCGTATCGGGCGATGAAGGCCATGAGTGTGAGATCACCCCCAGCACCGATGTCAAGTACCCACAAGGCACTGGGGCTGGCGCTCGCTCCCATCTGCAGTCCAACCATTGGCTGCTCATCGGTCAGGGTCGTCGCACGCACGCACACACGTGCACACCTCCAATTGGCACGGTTGGCTACGTATGGTGCGAAAGAAGTTCAACATGCATACAAACAAAGACAGATCCCCCGTATAGCGAGCATCTATGAAGGCCTTAACGGCACATGAGGGGGTGGGTGGCCAACACCACCTTTGTCTCCCCCAGTGGCGATGTTTCTACATCGCACCAGGTACTCATTTGAGGCTGAGTCGACCTAGGGGAGGCCCAGGACCGATTCAGATAATCGTCACCGGTGTTTGTCGAGAGCAGGAGTCGAACCCGGTTCGCCAGGTTCGTAGTGCAGCGTGCTAACAGCTACACTACCGCTCCCCACTACACACATACACATACACCCGCACACACACACACACACACGCATGTGGCCTACACCCCGCTCGCACGTGGAGCGTCGCTCCATCTTCCCGTGCACCATCCCAACCATGCCCTGCTCCCCCCCCCCTCCGGACCCTCCCCTCCCCCCCCCCCCCCCCCCCCGTGTATGACCACGCCGCAGGACACCACGAGCGCCCGCTGCCGGCGCACGGCGAGCTCCCCAACGGCCTCCCCGAGCGCGCCGCCGCATCCGGCACCGTCATCCCCAGCGCCGGCGCTGGCGGCGGCAGAGACGGTGGCGCGGAGGGCGGCGATCGACACTCGTACACGCCGGTGCGTGGCCTCCGTGGTGGCGGTGTAAGAGTGGTGGTGGTGTTGTGGTGGTGGTGGTGGTGTAAGAGTGGTGGTGAAGATGATGGTGTTGTTGTTGTGGTGGTGGTGTTGTTGTGGTGGTGTTGTTGTTGTGGTGGTGTTGTTGTGGTGGTGTGAGAGTGGTGGTGTGAGAGTGGTGGTGAAGATGGTGGTGGTGTTGTTGTGGTGGTGTTGTTATGGTGGTGTTGTTGTGGTGGTGTGAGAGTGGTGGTGTGAGAGTGGTGGTGTGAGAGTGGTGGTGGTGTTGTGGTGGTGGTGGTGGCGGTGTAAGAGTGGTGGTGTTGTTGTTGTGGTGGTGGTGGTGTAAGAGTGGTGGTGGTGTTGTGGTGGTGGTGGTGTAAGAGTGGTGGTGGTGTTGTGGTGGTGGTGGTGGTGGTGTAAGAGTGGTGGTGAAGATGATGATGGTGGTGTTGTTGTGGTGGTGTTGTTGTGGTGGTGTTGTTGTGGTGGTGTTCGTGTGAGAGTGGTCGTGTGAGAGTGGTGGTGGAGATGGCGACGGTGGCGGTGGGGTAATTGACGACGACGATGTTCGTGGTGACGATGGTGTAAGTGCCGGTGACGATGGTGTATGAGGTGCTGCTGTTCTTATGCCGTCATGCAGCCACTCATCTTACCATTCGTCTCGGTCAGTCAACCCACGGTACCTGGGTCTGTCCCGTGACCTCCCGCCAGCCACAATTCACGTGGCCTTAAAGCGCACCCGGCCTGGCACACGCGCCGCGGCGACGTCACCGCCGCTGGGCGGCGAACGGCGGCCGCTGCCGTTGTCATCCTTGTCGTGCGGCCGTCCCCTAGGACCCCGGCGGAGACCCCTCGCCCCCCGAGAGGGACGCCGGTCGGGGTGGCGGCGCCCGGGGTGACGGGCCGGGCCCCCCGCCCGCGGCGGGCCCCCCGCGACCCCCCCACGAGCCCCCCCCCGCGGTGTCGAGGGACGTCGCCGTGCTGCTGCTGGGCTCCGTGCTGCTCGCGGGATGGGTGGCCTTCCTCGTCACCTACCCCAGGGTCGGCCTCCCCACGCGTCTACCCGGTTTTATTCAATAGAGAAACGCATAAGGATACGCATGTATACGTAGAGATACACATACGTAGAGATACACATACGTAGAGATACACATACGTAGAGATACACATACGTAGAGATACACATACGTAGAGATATACATGTACACAGAGCGATACTCGGACATACTCATAGCGCTATCAGGCCCCTTGAGACATTCGTGGAAGGTGCCTTACAAGTAAATGATTTATTATCAGACGGTGCAGCAGCAGCGTGAGCAGCGCCAGCAGCTTGAGGAGCGCCTGGAGGAGCGCCTGCAGCTGCTGGCGCAAGCGCAGGCCTTGGCCCTGGCGGCGCCCGGCTCCCCGGCTCCGTCACAATCCTCCTCCTCCACCTCCTCGTCGTCCGCCTCCTCCTCCTCGTCGTCGCGGCTGCTCCCCCGCTCCCCGGGGGGCGGAGAGCGGCGCCCCACCGACTCACCCCGGCACCGCTTGAGCCGCTCCTCAGGGGTGCGGCGCCCTGCGTGACCCCCCCCCCACGTGACCACCACCCCCCCGCGTGACCCCCGGCGTGACCCCCGGCGTGACCACCGACCCCCCACCCCTGCGTGACTCCCTCTCCGCGCTTCCTCACTGCCATGCTGCTGCCTTCTGTGTGTGTGGGCGTGTGTGGTGCTGCTCCCTGTGTGTGCGTGTGTGGTGCTGCTCCCTGTGTGTGCGTGTGTGGTGTTGCTCCCTGTGTGTGCGTGTGTGGTGCTGCTCCCTGTGTGTGCGTGTGTGGTGCTGCTCCCTGTGTGTGTGTGTGTGGTGCTGCTCCCTGTGTGTGCGTGTGTGGTGCTGCTCCCTGTGTGTGCGTGTGTGGTGCTGCTCCCTGTGTGTGCGTGTGTGGTGCTGCTCCCTGTGTGTGTGTGTGTGGTGCTGCTCCCTGTGTGTGCGTGTGTGGTGCTGCTCTCTGTGTGTGCGTGTGTGGTGCTACTCCCTGTGTGTGCGTGTGTGGTGCTGCTCCCTGTGCGTGTGTGGTGCTGCTCCTTGTGTGTGCGTGTGTGGTGCTGCTCTCTGTGTGTGCGTGTGTGGTGCTACTCCCTGTGTGTGCGTGTGTGGTGCTGCTCCCTGTGTGTGCGTGTGTGGTGCTGCTCCCTGTGTGTGCGTGTGTGGTGTTGCTCCCTGTGTGTGCGTGTGTGGTGCTGCTCCCTGTGTGTGCGTGTGTGGTGCTGCTCCCTGTGTGTGCGTGTGTGGTGTAGCTCCCTGTGTGTGCGTGTGTGGTGCTGCTCCCTGTGTGTGCGTGTGTGGTGCTGCTCCCTGTGTGTGCGTGTGTGGTGTTGCTCCCTGTGTGTGCGTGTGTGGTGCTGCTCCCTGTGTGTGCGTGTGTGGTGCTGCTCCCTGTGTGTGCGTGTGTGGTGCTGCTCCCTGTGTGTGCGTGTGTGGTGCTGCTCCCTGTGTGTGCGTGTGTGGTGCTGCTCCCTGTGTGTGCGTGTGTGGTGCCGACCTCTGTGCGTGCGTGCTGCTCCCTGTGTGTGCGTGTGTGGTGCTGCTCCCTGTGTGTGCGTGTGTGGTGCTGCTCCCTATGAGTGTGTGGTGCTGCTCCCTGTTTGTGTGTGTGTGGTGCTGCTCCCTGTGTGTGCGTGTGCTGACCCTTGTGTGTGACCCGTGTGTGCGGTGCGTGTTGTGTGTGGTGCTGACGCGTGCGTGCGTGCGTGCGTGCGTGTGTGCTGCAGTCCGGACGCCTGCGTCACTCTGGCGGTGCCACGGCCCCCGGCGCCGTCGCAGAGGGGAGCGCCGGCGAGCGCGACGATGACGGTGAGGGCGACGCCACCACTCGCCGTCGACCGCCGTGTCGCGGTGCGGTGTGTTGCTGTGCCGTGGCGGTGTGATGCGTGTTGTTGTGATGTGTTGCGGTGGTGTGGTGCGTAGAGTTGTGATGTGTTGTGGTGGTGTGGTGCGTAGAGTTGTGATGTGTTGCGGTGGTGTGGTGCGTAGAGTTGTGATGTGTTGCGGTGGTGTGGTGCGTAGAGTTGTGATGTGTTGCGGTGGTGTGGTGCGTAGAGTTGTGATGTGTTGCGGTGGTGTGGTGCGTAGAGTTGTGATGTGTTGCGGTGCCGTGGCGGTGTGATGCGTGTTGTTGTGATGTGTTGCGGTGGTGTGGTGCGTAGAGTTGTGATGTGTTGTGGTGGTGTGGTGCATAGTGTTGTGATGTGTTGTGGCGGTGTGGTGCTTAGTTTTGTAATGTGTTGTGATGCCATGGCGGTGTGGTGCGTAGTGTTGTGATTTGTCATGGTGTGTCGTGGTGTATGTTATGCGGTGCATGGCGGTATGACGCAGGGATGGTGGTGTGTTGCGCTGTGCTCTGCCGCCCCCCAATGCTGCACTGCCACCTGCTTCTGCTGCTGCTGCTGCTATTACTGCTGCTACTGCTACTGCTGTTGCTATTACTACTGCTGCTACTACTGCTGCTGCTACTGCTGCTGTTACTACTGTCGCTACTACTGCTGCTGCTACTACTACTGCTGCTGCTACTACTGCTACTGCTGCTGCTACTGCTGTTGCTACTACTACTGCTGCTACTGCTACTGCTGTTGCTGCTACTGCTGTTGCTACTACTACTGCTGCTACTACTGCTGCTGCTACTGCTGCTGTTACTACTGTCGCTGCTACTACTGCTACTACTGGTACTGCTGCTGCTACTACTACTACTGCTGCTGCTACTGCTGCTACTGCTGCTGCTACTGCTGTTGCTACTACTACTACTACTGCTGCTGCTACTGCTACTGCTCCCCAGACGAGGAGGGCGAGGAGGAGGGCGAGGAGGGCGAGGAGGAGACGCGTGTGGGCAGCATCTCTTTCTACCCGCGCCACGTGCTGGGCCACGGTGCCGAGGGCACCATCGTCTACAGGTGGGGCCGCCGGCACCACAACCAGCGGCATGGCGGCCATCCTCACAACAGCCATTGTCACAACAGCCATCGTCACAACAGCCATCGTCACGGCCTTCATCACAATCATCGTCACAGCCATCTTCACAGCCGTCTTGACAGTGCGTGTGCGTCCGTGTGTGCGTCTGTACGTGTGTGTACGTGTGTGTGTGTATCTGTGTACGTGCGTGTGCGTCTGTACATGTGTGTACGTGTGTGTGTGTATCTGTGTACGTGCGCGTGCGTCTGTACACGTGTGTACGTGTGTGTGTGTATCTGTGTACGTGCGTGTGCGTCTGTACGTGTGTGTACGTGTGTGTGTGTGTGTGCGCGCGTATCTGTGTACGTGCGCGTGTGCCGCCGGCGCCAGGGGCCGGTTTGACGGGCGCGCCGTGGCCGTGAAGCGCATCCTGCCCGAGTGCTTCAGCTTTGCGGAGCGCGAGGTGCGGCTGCTACGCGAGTCCGACGAGCACGCGCACGTCATCCGCTACTTCTGCACGGAGCGCGACCGCCAGTTCCAGTACATCGCCACTGAGCTGTGTGCCGCCACACTGCGCGAGGTGCGCGGAGCGGCCCCGGGGGTGCGGGGGTGCAGGGGTGCGGGGGGGGGAGATGCGGGAGCGAGGCAGACGCTGGACTCGCCCCAACAGTCTGTTAAGGCTATACGGGCGAGCTTTGATCTTTGCTGCTGTGTGTAATGCTGTGAGCGAATGTGTGATGCTGTGTGAAGCCGCGTGTGCTGCTGCTGCTGCGTGTGCTGCTGCTGTGTGCTGCTGCTGTGTGTGATGCTGTGTGTGATGCTGTGTGTGATGCTGTGTGTGATGCTGTGTGTGATGCTGTGTGTGATGCTGCGTGTGATGCTGCATGTAATGCTGCGTGCTGTGTGTGATGCTGCGTGTGATGCTGTGTGTGATGCTGTTTGTGATGCTGCATGCTGTGTGTGATGCTGTATGTGATGCTGCGTGCTGTGTGTGATGCTGTATGTGGTGCTGCGTGTGATGCTGTATGTGCTGCTGCGGTGGGACGCAGTATGTGCTGGACCCGGCCTTCGAGCGGCGAGGCCTCGACCCCGTCACGCTGCTGCAGCAGACGCTGTCCGGCCTGGCTCACCTCCACTCGCTCAACATCGGTACGGCCACACCCCACGACACACCGTGCACCACACGCCGTGCACCACGCCCCACGCCACACCCCACGACACACCCCACGCCACACCGTGCACCACACCCCACGACACACCCCACGCCACACCCCGCACCACACCCCACGCCACACCGTGCCAGGCTCACGTCACGCCGTGCACCACACGCCATGCCACACCGCTCACCGCACTGTCATGGTCAACTGCACCGTGCCACAACGTGTGCCACCGTGCCACAACGTGTGCCACACTGCTGCGCGTTTGTCGCAGGGTCAGCCACACGCGTCACACCGCGTCACACCAGGTCACAGCAAGTCACAGCGCCAGGCTGTTGGGGCGAGTGCCGTTCGTGAGTAGCACCACCTATGAAGGCCGGCACGGCGCACGGGGGGGGTGGGTGGCCAGCGCCATGCCCAATGACCGCCTTTGTTTCCCTTGGTGGCGATGTTTACTACACACCGTGCCAGGTACTCATTTGAGGCCGAGTCGACCTAGGGGAGGCCCAGGACCGTTTCAGGTAATCGTCACTGGAGGCTGCCGTAAGCGGGAACCAAACCCGGGCCATCGGGCTCGTCGCGCAGCGTGGCGCTAACCGCTACACCACCGCTCTCCATACACTCACTCGCACACGCTCGCCAATACCCGGCAAATCCGCCACCACGCGATGGGAGACATCAACCACGGCGCCTGTGCCAGGCCAGGTGCACCTTGAAGCGTCGAAGGCTCCCTGCTGGCCGGATGCCACGGGCCCAGACCCAGGTGTCACGGGTTCACTCGCTGAGATGACTGGCAAATGCACTGCCTCTGTGCACCTTGCTAGCACCCTTTTACGAATACCCACACTGTGCCCCACCTCCCCTACTCCCCCCCTCTCTCCTCACCTAGTGCACAGGGACCTGAAGCCCCACAACATCCTGCTGTCGCTGCCCAGCGGCCACGGCCGCATCAAGGCCCTCATCTCTGACTTCGGCCTGTGCAAGAAGCTGTCGGCCGGCAGGCAGAGCTTCAGCCTGCGCTCGGGGATCCCCGGCACGGAGGGGTGGATCGCGCCGGAGCTGCTCACGCAGGACTGCAGCCCGGTGCGTGGCGCGCGCCAAACGCCAACACAGAGACCCGACGCTGCTAACCCACCGCGCCTCTCACCCCCACCTCCACTACCCTCACCGGTGTCGGACTGTCTCATCGACGGGCTGTGTCATCGACGGGCTGTGTCATCGACGGGCTGTGTCGCGGGGCGGGGCGGGGGGGGTGCACGCGACGGAGTGCGGTGTGAAGTCAACATCGCCGTTGGGGAGACAAAGGCGGCCGAGCGTGGTGCTGGCCGCACCCACCCCCTCGTATCACACAGTGCCGGTAGCCTTCATAGGCGCTTGCTGTTCGCCAACAGCACTTGCCCCAACAGCCCGTTAAGGCTACACGGGGGATCTTTGTCTTTGCCACTGCTGCGACGCGCTCCGCCTCTTGCGCCTGACACAGCCTGTTTCTCACACTCCGCCTCTTACACTCACCACGCTCTCTCACTCACCACGCACTCTCACTCACCACGTACTCTCACCACGCACCCTCACTCACCACGCACTCTGTGTCTCACTCACCACGCACTCTGCCTCTTACACTCACCACGCACTCTCACTCACCACGCACTCCATCTCTCACTCACCACGCTCTCTCACTCACCACGCACTCTCACTCACCACGCACTCTCACTCACCACGCACTCTCACCACGCACTCTCACTCACCACGTACTCCGTGTCTCACTCACCACGCTCTCTCACTCACCACGCTCCCTCACTCACCACGCTCTCTCACTCACCACGCTCTCTCACTCACCACGCTCTCTCACTCACCACGCCCTCTCACTCACCACGCTCTCTCACTCACCACGCCCTCTCACTCACCATGCACTCTCACTCACCACGCACTCCCGCTCTCACTCACCACACACTCCGTGTCTCACTCACCACGCACTCTCACTCACCATGCACTCTCACTCACCATGCACTCTCACTCACCACGCACTCCATCTCTCACTCACCACACACTCCGTGTCTCACTCACCACACACTCCGTGTCTCACTCACCACGCACTCCATCTCTCACTCACCACACACTCCGTGTCTCACTCACCACACACTCCGTGTCTCACTCACCACGCACTCCATCTCTCACTCACCACACACTCCGTGTCTCACTCACCACACACTCCGTGTCTCACTCACCACGCACTCCATCTCTTACTCACCATACACTCCGTGTCTCACTCACCACACACTCCGTGTCTCACTCACCACGCACTCCATCTCTCACTCACCACACACTCCGTGTCTCACTCACCACGCACTCTCACTCACCACGCACTCCGCCTCTTACACTCACCACGCTCTCTCACTCACCACGCACTCCATCTCTCACTCACCACGCACTCCATCTCTCACTCACCACGCACTCCATCTCTCACTCACCACGCACTCCATCTCTCACTCACCACGCAATCTCACTCACCACGCACTCCATCTCTCACTCACCACGCACTCCGTGTCTCACTCACCACGCACTCCGTGTCTCACTCACCACGCTCTCTCACTCACCACGCACTCTCACCCACTACTCGTTCACCCCCCCCCCCCCAGACGTGTGCTGTAGACATCTTCTCCGCTGGCTGTGTGCTCTACTTCGTGCTCTCGGGGGGCCGCCACCTCTTCGGGGACCGCCTGCACCGCCAGGCCAACATCCTCGCCGGCGCCTACAGCATGGAGCAGCTGTCGCCCGACGAGCACGGTGAGCGCCAGCGCCGTCTTAACCGCACACCGGTGCCGTATTTACCGCACACCGGTGCCGTATTCACCCAGCGCCAGCGCCGTCTTCACCGGACGCCATTTATATAGTTGGGTGGCCGCGGCGGCGGCGGCGGCGTTGGTGGTGGAGGGAAGGGTTGGCGGATCACGCGTGGATGGGGTGTGAAACTTCCTCCCTTCTATCCGTGGGTGGGTATCGAGGAGGAGCCGTACCCCTGGCTCCGATAGGTAGAAAGCGGTACGGCAGAGCGTGTGGACTCGTCTCCGTGTGTTCCCATCTGTATGGGGATAGAGCGTTGCCCCCTCACGCAAGGCGTGGGTTTCTCCCCCCACGTGAATAATAAAACATCTTAAAATAAAAGCCCAATGCAGCAGCAGCAGCAGCGGCAGGACCCCTCTTGAACAAGTCATTATTATATTAAATATGTAATTTGAATGATAGTTGTAATTAATAGTAGTTAAGTCACGCGCGTGATGTGTGCATAACGAGTGTGCGCCCTGCGTGTGCGTGACACGTGCGCGCTCGTGTTTGACGCCTGCATGTGACGCGTGTGTGTGACGCGTGTGTGTGACGCGTGTGTGTGACGCGTGTGTGTGACGCGTGCGTGCGTGTGACGCGTGCGACGCGTGCGTGCGACGCGTGTCCCAGACGGCGCCATCGCTCGCGCTCTCATCGGGTCGATGATCGCGGCCGTCCCCGCCCGGCGTCCGTGCGCCGGCCGTGCCCTCAAGCACCCCTTCTTCTGGAGCCGCGAGAAGCAGCTCCACTTCTTCCAGGTGGCTCCCCTCCCCCACACCCCCCCCCCCCACCCACACTCCGTCTACCCCCTCCGCCCCCTCGCTTCACCCCCTCACCTCGCCCCTTCCGTGCGTGCCGTGTGCAGGACGTGAGCGACCGGATCGAGAAGGAGCCGCTGGACGCGCCGGTGGTGCGGGCGCTGGAGAGGGGCGGTCGCGCCATCGTGCGCGACGACTGGCGCTCGCGCATCACGCTGCCGCTGCAGATCGGCGAGTGGCGCCCGCACGGCCGACGCGAACCGCACCGCCGTAGCCCGGCCGCCCCCGACCTCCCGACGAGCCTCCTCCGCTCGAGGCCACGAGGGCCGCCGTTTGCTTCGTGCGTCCCTGGGTGTTGTGCGTCTCTGCGTCTCGTATCCGCATGGCTCGTGCCTCCGTGTTCCAAAGCCCTGTATCACCGTGTCTCATGTACCCGTCTCGTATCCCTGTGTCCCCACAGACCTGCGGAAGTTCCGGTCGTACCGCGGGAGCTCTGTGCGCGACCTGCTGCGTGCCATGCGCAACAAGGTGAGGCCGCACTCCGCCCGAGTAGCCACTCGCCGCGGGAATGTGGAATTTCCCACCGCTAGCTCGGGGCTCCGAACAGCAGGAGCGTCGGCAGCCTCCCCATGCAAACCCCCCCCCACCCCCCCCACACCCCCCCACTCCCCCCACCCCCCCCCCCACCAGAGCCGCTGTTTGCCGCGTGTGTCCCTGGGCGTTGTCTTCGTGTCTCATATCACGTCAGAAGCGGCGCCACCATCGATCGCCCAAGCTCTGTGATCCCCTGTATGTAAGAGATGCTTGGCCAACGCATTTAGCGAGTGTTTGTTTATTCGTGTGTGGGAGGAGAAGGAAGGCCTCATGCTTGCCAGGGGAAGTTTCCCTCACTCCCGCCCCCCTTTCCATACAAATCGAAACTCGCCCCACTTGCCCCACCGCCACCGCCGGTTCTCCCTGGCCATGAGCCGGGAAATTGAGCGAACCCCGATGTCTGCGGCTAAGGGGAGGGAGCTTCGGCGGGCATGTGTGCGCTAGCGTGATCCACCAACCCTAGCTGCTGCCTCCGCGCGGGCCGGCCTACCGACTGGCCGCGTGCAGCACAGCCACCAACTTCAGGTCATTGTTGTTGCTGCTGCTGCTGCTACTGTTGCTGCTGCTGCTGCTACTGTTGCTGCTGCTACTGTTGTTGCTGCTGCTGCTACTGTTGCTGCTGCTACTGTTGCTGCTGTAGAAGCACCACTATCGCGAGCTGCCGAGCGACGTGCAGCAGACGCTGGGCTCCGTGCCCGACGACTTCGTCACCTACTTCACGTCACGGTTCCCGCACCTCCTCTTGCACACCTACACCGCCATGGCCGCCTGTGCCCATGAGCGCCTCTTCCACGCCTACTACCACCACGAGCACCAGCAGGACGCCGATGCCACCGCCGATGCCACCAATGCCGCCGCTCGAGCGCCACTGCTGGCGCCACCAACGGAGGCCTGAGCGGCAGCGATGCGGGGAGAGAGGCGACAGCTGCTTGTTGACGCCGCCCCGGCTGCTGCATCATGGGAGATGCAGCAGCTGTCGTTGGTGCCGCGAGCCTGGCACGGCTGGCGAAGGGTGCGGGCCAGAGGGGGAAGAGCTCACAGACGGATGGGGAAAGTGAGTGGACGGACAGGCGGCAGCATGGATGCAGGCAGTCGCATTGGAGGCCTTGGCCAGACTGCTGTGGCAAGTGGTGGGGGGCAGGGGTAGCAAGCCCAGTCCCCCTGCAGCTCTGCCCCCAACAAATGAGGATGCTGAGAGGAGTCGACCCTGCAATTATTTTGTGGCCCAAAGCGCCTCCAATAACGCCTGCGTTCCTGTGGCTGCCCTGCTGGGGGGGGGTGTGGGGGGGGTTGTGGGTGGCCCCAGACTGCTGACAGTGAAGCGCTTATTTAAATGGTGATGGTTTTGGGGATTCCTTCCTTATCTTGAGAAAATGAAATTGACCAAAGTTTTGAAAAGCAAAAAAAACATTTTTACAGGAAGCCACCGCCTCAATCTGCTCGTGCAGATTGTGAGGCAGTGGTGGTGCGCGTTTGTGCGCATGGGTGTATTTAACTTGATTTGTACTTCTACTGAAACCACTGTAAATAAAACTCTGCTTTTGCCTATAATGCCCCCTCTGAGTTATCTACTGCTGAGTGAGCAGCACAAGCCTGTAGGCCACGACACAGCACCACACCACTGATGACAGTCCGACGGTTCACAATGTTTAATCCGTTCCACAGAAACTACCATTAACCAAAAAACTTAATCGTAGTTCCGTTTCCACTGCCTCAGTTGAGGTCTAAACGCTCAAATGGGTGTCATCAATTGGCCGAGGGCATGGACTCTGCCCTGCTGGCAAGCTCAGATTGACAGATTGGCACCCCACATGCACAGCATAAATATGCTGTCACTCAGCATCAGTCAACACCGTGGGGGTCCCTATGGGAGGCAAAACGCCAACCGAAAAGCCGTTTAGCGGTGTCAGCCACTTAACTGACAGCCTACCCTAATGTGTGGCATTGGCCAAGATGGTTATGAACTTTCGTGAGAGACGGGAGTTGGACTCCATTCGAGCCAAGGCTCAATGCCATCTTGCTTAGCGTGAGCCAAGCTTGGGGTCATGGTCCCAGCTATACCCCCCTCCACCCCCTTCCAGGATTTTCCATTGAGGCCGAGCAACTCAATCCCAAGCCGAGCCTGGAAAGAGGCAGCCACTCCAAACGCAGCGCTTTGACAAGCCAGGCAGGAGCAGCCCCACCGTGGACAAGGAAGTGGTGGCTCTCAGGATGGGGATCATGACAAATATTCCACCTCACATGGCTCCGGGGAGAGAGTGAGTGGAACATCAGCACGGTGGAGACAAAGGCAGCTAGGTGCAGGTACTGGCCACTCAACCCTCATGGTGCTGTGCCGGCGAAAAGTTAGCCCCAAGTCTGTTCAATGGATGAATGGGGATCATCGAGTGAGCGACCGGATGGTTGCATGGGTGAGCAAGCGAGTGGGTGGGCGAGCGAGTGGATGGTTGCTTGGGTGTGCGAGTGGGGCGAATAGATTATTGCATGGGTGATCGAGTGGGTGAATGGATGGTTGTATGGATAGGTGAAATGACCACACTGCGGGGCAATGGAGATGGAGTGTCACAGGTGGGTAAATCGTGGGTACGTCCACCCGTCTTCACAGCGTGGACATCGTGCAAGAGCCGACCACGTGGCTCCCGAGCGGAAGCCCTGGGTTCCGCCAGCAGTGGCCCAGCTGACAGTTGCAGGGCTGCGCCTTAAAATGTTTTTTTAATTTTTTATAAACAGGCATGAACACAGACCCGGGCAAGAAAATGTAAACTCTTTATTATTAAATGTCCGTCAACGTGGCGACAGCGAGATAGAGAAAATTCGTTGAGGGAAATTGAGAGAAGAGCAGCCGCAGCAGCCGCAGCTCATGCAGAGGGGCTGCTGGGGAGAAGTAATAACAGCTGCGCATGCGCACACAGACACACGCTCAAACACGCACACGCCTGTACAGCGCTCCCTCCGCAGCCCTATGTACAAAACCGCATGCGACGGTGGCCCACCGGTTGTGCCGCTAGAGGCCCCACAGCACCACTCCCCCCCCCCCCGTGCACAATTTTTAAAAGAGTGATAAAAGAAGAGATCACTTTCGACAAAAAAAACAACGACAACTAAAAAAAACACACCACAAACCCCCTACGGTCACCACACGGGGGGGGGGCCCCCCACTCTCGCACGCCACCCACCGAGTCTCCTGCACAGCACACCGAGGGCGAGGGGGGGGGGTGACGACCCCTCCTCCCGGCACGTGGCTCAGGGCGCGGCGATCTTCCCGCGCACGGAGCCCGACCGGCTGCTCAGCATCTTCTCGGCCATGGAGCGAGCGTAGCGCAGGCGGCTCATGAGGTCGGCGCTGCAGCCGTGCTCGGCGAGCAGCGCCAGCCGCAGCGTGCGGGCGTTGCGCTTCTCGTCGATGTACGTGACGGCGCCCATCAGCGGGCACAGCATGATCTTGGCGTGGTCCTGCGGTGGGTGGGGAGGGGGGAGGTTTGTCGAGAGGTCGACGGGGAGTTTCGGCGAGAATTAAAAACGCAGCCCCTGCACGGAGATCCTCACGCAGCCGGGCCCTTCCCGAGCCCTCGTTGACCCCCGTTAGAATGACGTTCACGCGTAAGCGCCATCGGTCTTGCGGTTCCGTTCTGATGACGTGCGTGCAACGCCATCGGCACGGAATCTGAAGAGAAACTACAAATTAAAAAAAAAACATCGGACACCGGAGCCACGAGCTCTCCTCGGAAAGGAGGGTGGGGGTGGGGGGGGGAATTCGAGGCCAGATGGTCTCCCCCCCCCCACTGTCGTACAACACCTAAATAAGTCACCAGGATGGGGCAGGAGACCGAGGATAAGGGGGAGGTGGGGGGGGTGTAAAACCACTACAGACGGGGAGCCAGAATCGAAGGGGCGGATTGTAAAAAATGCCCGTTCAGGCCACCCCTTACCGTTTTAGTTTCTTGCCGTCAGCTGGGCGTTTCGGTTGTAGCTCTCTCTTCTCGTGCACCTTCCCTCTTAACCCTATCCCCCTTTCTGTGGGACCCCCCTCACCCCCCGTGGATGGTTTGGGGGCTGCTAGACTGCTTCCCCCAATCTTTGTCATCCCTGCGTTTCATAACTGGCTTGACTTATGGTTGACTGTGTGTGTGCACGCATCACAACGTGGTGTAAAATCAGGCCCGCACATTTGCCTCGATAACAAAAAATTAAGAAAATATATATATACTACATTCAGAAGAATGTATTCAAAGTAACAGACACGAAATTTTCAAAATAAAATGTATTAGATTCTAATAATTTAAAGCGAGACAAATTAAATAAAGATGCAAGTGAATGAAAAAAAAATGGAATTCTAAAATAAATGAAAAACACAATTTTGTAAAAACAAAAAAATATCTACGTAATAAAAAAAAACAACAACGCTACTATCGCTACCGAGGCTCCCACGAGGCCATGCGGGGGAGGGCGAAAGACGCCGGCCCCCCTCCCGCCGTCCCCCTGCCCCCCACCTTGAAGAAGTTGATCTGCAGCGTGCCGTTGGAGAGGTGCAGCACGATGGCGGACCGCGTGCGGAACCACGTGCGCAGGTACGGCAGGCGCGCAAGCTCGTCGCCCTCGCGCGTCGGGATGTTGGCGCCCGCCTTGAGCAGGTGCTCGCTCATGTAGCTGTGGAAGTACTTGGTGAGGGTCACCTGGCGGCACGGGGGGGGGGGGAGGGGGCGGGGCCGAGGGGTCAGCGGTGGCAGCAGGGAGAGACGGCCGCTTTGCCGGACTTCTCGCCGCACGCGGGTTAAGGAAGGAAGCTTCGCCGGCTCGGATTCCGCCGGCCTAAAGATTGCGATTCCGCGACGGATCCCGATACTCCGAGGCCCACGCCAGGTTCGTTAAAGGCGACCTCGAGGCACCCACGGCCAACGGAGACGGAGTTTCCCGCACGGGGGGCCAACAAAGGCCGGCGCGGAGCGTGAGGGGCGTGGGCGGCCAGCACCTCGCCCCAGCCACCTTTGTCTCGCCGGTGCCTGTTACGCACCGTGCCAGGGGTGGTTCACAAACCCAGAGGGGAGGGGGGAGCGGAGCAGGTTGTGGGGGGGGGGGGTGGGCAGGTACCCCACGGCGCTTACCTTCTTGGTGAGCGCCGTGGGGTACGAGTGCATGGAGAAGAAGGACTCGGTGAGGTCGCGCTCGATGTACTGGATCTGCTCCCCGTCCGGGTAGAGCAGCATGCGCGTCGAGTCGTTGAACAGCACGCCCACGCTGTTGTCGCACAGCGTGTAGCCTGCGACACGCCACGCACACGCACACACGCAAAGTTGGCGTCGACGCCAACATCGGCGCTCGCGCGCTCAACGAATGTTGAACTTCGACGGTGCTGAAATCGGGAGGCCATCGCGCGAGCGAAAGGGCCGCCGACAGGAGGCCCACGGCACAGACCCCAGGCCTGTGCTCCCCACGTCCTCCTGCATCACCCCTCCACAACCCGTGCCACTCACCCACCTCGCCCATCGGCCCACCACTTCTCTCGCCCGTGCCCGTTTAGCCCCCTCCATCCGGCCAAAGAGACGATGCTTGGGAAGCATGCGGTGGCTGGGCGTGCGGGGCTACGCCACTTGGCCAACGCACACACCACCACCACCGCTATTCGCCACTCAGCGGCGGTGATGTCACCACGGCGATTGTTCCGCACTTTAAGGCCACTTCACGTGTGTCGAACGCCCACTGGCAGGTCACGGGACAGACCCAGATGCCACGGGTCGACCGACCGAGATGACTGGCAAACACACATACAGCAACGACGACGTTTTCACCACGCAGCGCGTCCCCGTGACGCACGCGCGCACACGGCCCGTGCCCCCCACGCGTGCACACGGCCCGTGCCCCCCTACACGTGCACGGTTTACGGGCGACTCACCGAGGCCGTACTTGTCCGAGTAGTCGACCCACTTGCTCACCCAGAGCACGGGGACCGCGGCGGGGTCTTCCGCCTCGTCTGAGGGCAGAGACGCGACGGGGTGAGACGGGGCGAGACGGGACGGGGTGAGACGGGACGGGGTGAGACGGGACGGGGTGAGACGGGACGGGGTGAGACGGGACGGGGTGAGACGGGACGGGGTGAGACGGGACGGGGTGAGACGGGACGGGGTGAGACGGTGTGAGACGGGACGAGACGAGACGCGACGGGGTGAGACGGGACGGGGTGAGACGGGACGGGGTGAGACGGGACGGGGTGAGACGGGACGGGGTGAGACGGGACGGGGTGAGACGGGACGGGGTGAGACGGGACGGGGTGAGACGGGACGGGGTGAGACGGGACGGGGTGAGACGGGACGGGGTGAGACGGGACGGGGTGAGACGGGACGGGGTGAGACGGGACGGGGTGAGACGGGACGGGGTGAGACGGGACGGGGTGAGACGGGGCGAGACGGGACGGGACGTGACGGGGTGAGACGGGACGAGACGGGACGGGACGTGACGGGGTGAGACGGGACGGGGTGAGACGGGACGGGGTGAGACGGGACGGGGTGAGACGGGACGGGGTGAGACGGGACGGGGTGAGACGGGACGGGGTGAGACGGGACGGGGTGAGACGGGACGGGGTGAGACGAGACGGGGTGAGACGGGACGGGGTGAGACGGGACGGGGTGAGACGGGACGGGGTGAGACGGGACGGGGTGAGACGGGACGGGGTGAGACGGGACGGGGTGAGACGGGACGGGGTGAGACGGTGTGAGACGGGACGAGACGAGACGCGACGGGGTGAGACGGGACGGGGTGAGACGGGGCGAGACGGGACGGGGCGAGACGGTGTGAGACGGGGTGAAGGGGACACTGGCGAGCGAGCGGGCGGGACGAGTCTGCTGCTCACCCTCGCGCACGAGCAGTCGTTCCGAGGGCTTGGCCTCGAGCAGGCAGCTCAGCTGAGAGAAGAGGTCCGTGAGGTAGTAGTCCGAGCTGCCCACCACGTCCGCAGCCACGTCACTGTGGGAGGGGGGGGGGAGAGTGGGTCACCACCCAAACCCCCACAAAGATCCTCCGTGTAGCCTTAACAGACTGTAGGTGAAAGTGCTGTTAGAGAGCACCACCTATGAAGGCCGGCACGGCACACCAGGGGGCGGGTGGCCAGCACCACGCCCCGCCGCCTTTGTCTCCCCGGCTGCGATGTTTGCTACATGCCGCACCCGATAATCATTTGAGGCCGAGTCGACCTAGGAGAGGCCCAGGACCGGTTCAAATATTTCACGAGTGGGAATTCAACTTTGGTCGCCGGGTTCGTAGCGCAGCGCCGCGCCCTTCGCCCGGCTTGCCCCTCCCCCGCCCCCACCCCCGTGCTCACCTGGGCCCCGGCAGCACTTCCTTCTTCTCTTCAGCCTTGCGTGGAGCCCCCGAGTCTTCTGGGGCAGGGACAGGGGTCACCAACAGCGACACGGTTAGGAGTAGGCCAAGGGGGGGGGGGGGGCAGGAGTTTGCGATAGGGCCACAGTTGTGGGCAGAGGGTCCGACACAAGGGAAGGGAAGCACGTTATGGATACGGCCTTTGAGCGTCCCATTAGGCCAGAGGTGGCGGGCGGGTTTAAAACGGACGCATTTATTATTTACACGATCTGGCCCAACAAAAACCTCCGACAGATCCTTCCCCTGCACCACCCGCGGTTAGCACGGTTGGCTACGCACGGCGTGAAACCGCTCAACCGTATGTCGGCGCATGGCGGTGCCACGCTCACCGCGCCGCGCAAACTAGCGGCTCCCACTTCCGCGACAATCGCCCACAAGCCCACCCAGGCGCTACCTCCGTACCATTATTTTGACGTTTTATTTTTTGACCAGGCAAGGTCCCCCATACGGAGCCGTGTAGCTCTTTTTTAGAAGCGACCTGGCCATCCCAAATGGTAGGTCAACGCAGTGGGCTCACGTGGAAATGTATAGCAGCCAAACGCTCTAAAAACACGTGGCGATGTCGATTCTGAAATGTGGAGGGAAAACCTGGAGGACCCGGAGAAAATTCCACGCAATCACCAGGGAGAGAGAGACGCAAACTCCAAATACACAGCTGGTGTCAGGGTCGGGATCAAACCCACGACCTCCTGCACACCAGGCGAGGTAGCTAACATCACATAGCCACCAAGGCTCCCCCCTAATCACCCACAAGCCCCCCCCACCAACCCCTCCACCGGGCGCCACACCTCCCTCACCCTTGTTGATCTCCAGCAGCGGCTTGCGATGCATCGCGGCGGTCCCAGCGACGCCAACGCCGCCGCCGCCGCCGCCGGAGATGGCGGAGATGGCGGAGACGGCGGGGGGCAGCTGCTGCGGTGCCAGCGAGAAGCGCGGCGCCATCGAGAGGCAGGTGGTGGGGAGGCGCGCCGGCAGGTAGCCCGACGTGAAGAACTCGTCCTGCAGCAGCTCCGCGATGGACGGCCGCAGCAGCGGCTCCGAGCGCAGCATGCGGGCGATGAGCGTCGTGGCCGTGGCGCTCACGGCCTGGGAGCGAGCGAACACACGCATCACCGCCGGTGAGCCCTCACGGCCGTGACACGGCGGCGGCGGCACTACGCGCGAGGCCGTCGAGCGCTCGGCGTTGTACGGCGAGCGGCACCGCGGGCGAAGGCCGGCGACGACGCGGACCGACCGTGCTAAAAATCGGAGGTGCGGGAGGAGGACAACAAACTAAAAAGAGAAAAAGGGGGTGGAGGGTGGCCAGCACCACGACGCCCGGCCGCCTCCCACAATGGCGATGTTTGCACACCGTGCCGGGTATTCATTTAAGGCAGAGTCGACCTAGTGGAGGCAAGGGACCGGTTAAGCTATTCGTCATCCGTGTTGGTGGCTGCGAACGGGGAGCGAACTCGGGTCGCTGGGTTCGTAGCGCGGCCGTTCCCCGCACGCGCCGAGCGGGAGGGCGAGTGAGCGATCACCTTGGGGATGGTGTACTCGGTGCGCTTGATGCGTGCGTACGTGTCCTTGAGCGAGCTCGTCTCAAACGGCGGCTTCCCCACCAGCAGGGTGTACCTGCAGCAGCGGGGAGGGGGGGAGGTTCAGAGTGGGTGTGGCAACGCAAGAGTCACGTGGTGTACAAGAGGCTCGAGCGGTCTCGGATTCTGTGGGCGTTGTGCTGCTCATGGACGGCGCTGCTCACATGATGCACCCGATGGACCAGATGTCCACCTCGTAGCTGTGCCCCTTCTTGATGAGCACCTCTGGGGCGATGTAGTTGGGCGTCCCGCACAGAGTCTTCTTGCGCTCGCCCTCGTACTCGATCCGCGTCGCCAGCCCAAAGTCTCCTGCGGGCGGTGGACGAGCGAGGGGCGAGCGTCCGATAAGCGAGCGACGGATGGCGAGCTAGCGATCAAACTGTAAACCTGTTTTTATTCTACCCAGGCAAGGCCCACCACGGAGTGATGTAGCTCGTTTTCAGAAGAGCGAGAGGGGGCGAGCGAGCGAGAGGGCGAGCGAGGGGGGGCGGGCGAGCGAGAGGGGCGGGCTCACTCACCGATCTTGACCTCCATGTCGTCATTGAGGAAGAGGTTGCCCAGCTTGAGGTCACGGTGGATGACCTTGTTGATGTGCAGGTACTGGCAGCCCAGGATCACGTGACGCAGGAAGTAGCGCGCCTCGGGCTCCGACAGTGCCTTGCGCCGCTTGTGCAACTCCATCAGAGACTGCGCCCCCAAAAGGAGAAAGACAATATTTAGATCTCCAGTAGCGGCACAGGGTAATAACGTTAGAACAATGAGTACAAACACGACAGGAGCGCAAAGTACACGGTAAACAAATCACCCAAACAAATACAAAACTGAACCACCCCCATCCTGCCAGGCAAAGCTCAATGGAGGTATAAAACTTATTTTCCACGAGTGACCTGGCCACAGATGATAGCTCAACAAAGTGGCCTTATCATTCGGACATTTAGGGCAGCAAAATAATCCAAATGGTCTAAACAAGGCACGGTTTCTAAATGTGGAGGGGAACTGGAGAACCCACGGGAGTGGTGGAAGGGCACAGATCACACCGCAAGGCTCTGGCTGGGGTGAAGACTCGGATTATAATCGTCACTGGTGCCGTTGTACGTGACCTTGCTGTGTGAGCCGGCGTGATCCCAGCGTGGACCACAGCGTGGACCACAGCGCGCCCTAGTGGCCAGGACCGGCCTAGTGACCAACGGGGGGGGTATCACTAAAACCGGGGGATTGCAGAACATTTTTTAAATGTACATCTATAATTTTTCACGTGCGCGATTTCCTTGCAATTTTATATCCTTTGCACCACATCCCCCCCGCCCCCCATCGTGTTTCTGCATTGTTTGTCTGTTGTTACGTTCACACCTAGCCTGGCACAGTAGGGGGTACACCAGCTGGTGGCGCATTACAAGTGGTCATCTCACGCCGGCCAACCCACGGCACATGCTGGGTCTGACCCGACAACCTGACGCCGAGCCTTCAGATACTTCACGTGGCAGCCTCAAAGTGCACCTAGCCTGGCACGGGCACCGCGGTGACCAATGGCGTTGTATTTGGCAGTGGCCGTCGACGGTTAAAGAGCTGCCGGGGAGCCTCCGCTCCATCCCGAACCAGCGGCTAGCGGACCTCGACATTGGGGACCGATTCCCGCTGGTGACGATCAATCTGAAACCGGTCCTGGGACCCCCCCCCCCTCTAGGTCGACTCGGCCTCGAACGAGCAGCCCCGGTGGGGCGGCCGCGGTGTTTGGCCACGCACCCCGACAGTCGCCGGGGTCAGGCTGACAACGGGGTGGGGGATCTTCGGGTGGGGTAAAGTGTGGCGGAGCAGCTGTGGGCGTGCTCCTTGGCGGGAGGTGACAAGTTCACGCACTCTCTGGCTCTTTCGGTAAAGTCCCGTAGTGGGTAGAAAACTAAACTAATTAAAGCACGACGTTTCGGGCGCAACACAAGTACCCCGTCGTCATCAGGCGGAAACAACCACAGCATGAAACAATGGCAAAGGGAGGGCTGCTTGTGCCACGAGGCTCTATGTCACAAGCAGCCTCCCTTTGCCCCCCCCACCTTAAGCAATTTGTTTATTGCTCTTCTTTGGTTGTTTCGGTAAAGTCACGTAGAAGCGGCCTTCATCAGTCTCGTCCCTTCACCTGATGAAGGCCGCTTGTGTTGTGGCCGAAACGTCGTGAGAATATTATTGTGTTATTTTATCAATTTATTATTTTATTCTCATTCTACGTGACTTTACCGAAAGAACCAAAGAAGATGAATCCTTGCAGTCACGAAAGGTTTAAATCGAAATTTGATTCTTGCCGTGATCGTTTCCACCTGATGACGGGCACTGGGCTGCTGCGCCCGAAACGTCGCGATTTTTTTTAGTTTTCTACCTACGTGATGACTTGTACGAAAGAACCAAGAAGAGCATGGATGCCTGCAGTCACGCGAAAGCTTCAAATCTACAAGGGGCAAGTTGGTTACGAGTGGCCGAAGATGGGAATCGGCTCACAGAGAAGGGTCTCTCGGCTCTCACCGCTCCCTCCATCTCTCCTTTCTTCCAGCAGCGGTGGCGTGAACGAGGCATTGCAGGGTCCGTTTGATTTTTTTTTTTTTTTTAAAACGCATTTAATCACAACAACACCACCACCACAACCACCAACAACGCAAAGCCTCCCTCGCCAAGCCCTCCACGGCCGGCTGGGGGCGGGGTTTGTTGGCTAGCGCCACGCCCGGCCGCCTTTGTCTCCCCCCAGCGGCGATGTGCACACGCACCTTATACTGGTAGGAACGAAGTTGTAAACCGAGTGTACCAGCCTGCAATAGATTGTGTCCGTCCGTCCCCTTTCAATACTTTAACCAAGTGAAATCTCGTGCTGTTGGGTGTAAAATCAGCAATAGACAGCGCAGAGACTTAATATGTCTTATTGCACCCAACATTTGGAAGTAACAACGTCATAAAATTTCGCAAAATTCCAATGTTCCTACCAGCCCACCCTACAGGGAGCTGTTATTCATTTAAGGCCGAGTCTACCTAGGGGGGCGGGGGGGTGCCACCGGGAGTGACGACACCATCGCCCTAGCTCATCGTAACCGGCGTCGGTGGCCGTGAGCGGGAAATCGAACTCGTGTCCAACCACTGCACCACCGCTCCGCACAAAGACAAAGATCCCCCGTGTAGACTTACAGAATGTTGGTGGCAAGTGCCGATAGAGAGCGGCAGCACCCGATGCAGGCCGGCACTGTGGCACAACGAAGGGGTTGGGAGTGGGGCCGGAACCACGCCCGGCCGCCTTTGTCTCCCCCAGCGACGATGTTTTTTTTACACCGCACCGGCTACTCGTTTTTGAGGCCGAGTCGATCTCGGGGAGGCCCTGAACCGGTTCAGACAATGGTCACCGGTGTTGGTGGCCGTGAGCGGGAATCGAAACCTCGGGTCGCCGGGTTCGTTGCGCAGCGTGGCGCTGACCGTTACACCACCGCAAACACCACCACCACCACCACTACCACCATCACCCTCCCCCTCCACCACTACCATCATCACCCTCCACCACCACCATCACCCTCCACCACCACCATCATCACCCTCCACCACTATCATCACCCTCCACCACTATCATCACCCTCCCCCTCCACCACTACCATCATCCCCCTCCACCACTACCACCATCCCCCTCCACCACCCTCCACCACTACCACCACCACCCTCCACCACTACCACCACCACCCTCCATCACCATCACCCTCCACCACCCTCCACCACTACCATCACCCTCCACCACTACCACCACCACCCTCCACCACTACCACCACCACCCTCCACCACCACCACCATCATCACCCTCCACCACTACCACCATCACCTTCCACCACCCTCCACCACCACCACCACCACCACCCTCCACCAATACCACCATCACCCTCCACCAAAACCACCATCACCCTCCACCAAAACCACCATCACCCTCCACCAAAACCACCATCACCCTCCACCAAAACCACCATCACCCTCCACCACCATCACCCTCCACCACCATCACCCTCCACCACCATCACCCTCCACCACTACCACCATCACCCTCCACCACTACCACCATCACCCTCCACCACTACCACCATCACCCTCCACCACTACCACCATCACCCTCCACCACTACCACCATCACCCTCCACCACTACCACCATCACCCTCCACCACTACCACCATCACCCTCCACCACTACCACCCTCCACCACTACCACCCTCCACCACTACCACCATCACCCTCCACCACTACCATCATCCTCCACCACCACCACCACCATCATCACCCTCCACCACCACCATCATCCTCCCCCTCCACCACTACCACCATCACCCTCCACCTCCACCACTACCACCATCACCCTCCACCACCACCATCATCACCCTCCACCACTACCATCATCTTCCACCACCACCATCATCACCCTCCACCACTACCACCATCACCCTCCACCACCACCACCATCATCACCCTCCACCACTACCATCATCCTCCACCACCACTACCATCATCACCCTCCACCACCACCATCATCACCCTCCACCACTACCATCATCACCCTCCTCCTCACCCGTCGCCTGCACAGCTCCAGGATCACGTAGACGAAGTCGTCGTCCTCGAAGAAGCTGTGGAAGTTGACCACGTTGGCGTGGCCGAGCGAGCGGTGGATGGTGATCTCCATGCTCATCTTTTCCTTCTGGTGGGGCTTCATGAGCACCGTCTTGGACACGATCTTGCCCGCGAACACCTCGCCCGTGGCCACGTCCGTCATCTCGTAGCACTTGGCGAAGCCGCCCTTGCCCAGGAAGCGGCCTCGCTGGTATCGCCGCTTGGTGCCCGGGTCGTACAGCTGTTCGGGGATCTCCTTCACCACCAGCTCGGGGGGTGGCAACGCCGCCGACTTGCCACCCCCGCCCCCCGCTCCGTGCTGTGGCCGTAACACTACAGCCATGGCCGTGCCTGTTCGCGCCTCGGTCTCCACTCGATTCGTCGTTTCGCCGCTCTCGCCCGTGTACCTACGCCTAGTCCGCGTGTCTATCTCCTCGCCCGTGCGTCTCTCTACCTGCCGATCTTCCCCGTACCTCTCCTCCTCCTCCTCGTCCTCGTCTTTGTCTACTCCAGGGCACCCACTTCAAACTCCGCTTCGGTTTTGTCCCCGCCTGCCCGTGAGATAGCCGACGGAATGAGGTGGGGGTAGCTACACTCGATAGTTGCTTCGTAATTGACTTGAGAGACTATTAGTAAAGAGCTAACAATTGAAGAGATAATTACGAGAGCGCGCGCCGCGTGCCGTGACCGCTGTCGTTCACTACCGGGTTTTATTTAAACTTCGGGAGCCGTTGGTCGCCTCGCCTCTTATTGGTCGAGCTCGTCGCGGTGCACCACGGGAGAAAAAACACCCCCACCCACCCCGACTTTAAACGGACGTTACCCCGAGCGACGGGGTCCTTCGAACCCCGGGGCGCCCGAGTCGAAAATGTAATTCACCTTAAACTCTAAACGGCGTTTACTTGCACCCAAGCGGGAGGGGGGGCTTATTATAGCGCTCAATATAAATCTTGTCAATTAAAATATCATATTGGTAAACGTTGCTGTGTTTTTGCGAGGTGGTGTGGAATTTTTTTTGGTCAGGCGCTTGCCTCGGCCAACCCATTATAAAGTAGGAGGAGGGGTCCTAGCATTGCTTCACCCCTCCCCCACTCGTACCCCTCCCCACCACTCCAGCGTGGGCCTCGCCCCCTTTACGCGTGAGCCCCGCCCCCATCGTGCCCAGCCAGCCAATAGGAGCGCGCGTTGTGTTTAAAGGCCACGGCGTGCCGACCACGTGAACTTTCATTTAAACTGCGGAGCCAATCCCGCGTGGTGGGAGGCGTGGGCCTCCTAACGACAGTGGCCTCTGGCTCTGTTTAAATATCTCGTGAGTCACGTGTGTGTGTGTTAGCTCAGCGTTAAACGGAAATAAAATCAACGCGGCTTTTAAAACAACACCAACAAAAAAACCGACGTTTCGGCCAATGGCCTCTTTTTTGTTTAACACGTAGGCTTTCGCGATCAATATTATTCATAAAAAAGGTTTTTGGGTTAGATCGCGTTATTTATAAATGTTTCGTAATCCTCCACCACCCGACACGGCCAAACATTAAAAAAAATGTGTCACGTTTACAAAGGACAAATAATTCACTACTTTATTAAATAAATAAAATATACAATACAATTACATTTACTTATAAGGGAAACAAATACCAATGAATAACAATTCAATGATTACCAATCTATTATATAATTACAATACCCTCCCCCTCTCCGCCTCGAATCACTGCACCTGAATGAATTAAATAATGACGTCACCCTGCTGCTGCTCTGTTTAATACCGGGAACACATGGAGAGGGCTTTACCATACTCTTTGGTTCTATTGGGTAAAGTCACGTAGGTAAAAAATAAAATAACAAAAATCACGACGTTTCGGCCACAACACAAGCGGCCTTCATCAGGTGAAGGGATCAGGCTGTCTCGAGGACAGCGCTGGAGTGAAACACAACCACGCTCAGACCGCGGACCTTTAAGCTGTTTTTGAGGAAGGTCAGCGTCTCGATGAGCTGTGACTTCTTGTCCCGTTGTCTGTTAAAAGCTTTAACGATATACCGTATTTTTTATAATAATAATAAACAATGTCACGAAAGAACCCCTGTGTGAGCCGTATGACGGAGCCGTGGAAGTTAAATTGGACTCCCGTGATGAACTAGATATTCCACGATATAACAAGGTTTTTCCCATTTTTTTCTGGCAACAAAACTGAAACCTTTTTACAAGGATTCATGTTACTGCATTAATCACAATACCTGCACACCAATCAATTTCAAGGACAATGCCAATATATTATCATAGTATGTGTTTTGTTTGCATTTTGACTGCCGGTGTTGTGGTTAATGCAGACATGAATCCTTGTAAAAAGGTTTCAGTTTTGTTGCCAGAAAAAAAGGGGAAAAACCCTATAATTATATTTTGTTACTGACAAAGGAGGTCTAATAATGTAGATATTCCACTGTTCAGAGTTGTGAAAGCAAAATAACACGAATCACCATTTGTTACAAATAAGCCGCGCTGCAGTCGTGATGTACAGCAACGCATTTAATTTTACATCACCTATAGCTTTTTTTTATTAGTTTAACACAGGCTTTTTATTATTTCACCAGATAAGGCCCAATCAGCTTGTATACTGTAGCTCTGTTTCAGAAGCGACCTTGACCACAAATGATAGCTTCAACCAGTGCCGGATCAAGCTAGTGCGGGGCCTGTTATAAAGAGGCCATAAATAAAACAGTATATTAAAACATCATTTTTTTACTTGCATAGTAAAGTACCGTAATTGTATTTTTTAATTTGCTTTACAGCCAGATAATATGACAAATCGCTAACCTTAAACACCCGGTCGTTTCTAAAAGTTGAATACCAGTATAGTACTATAGTAATAGAGCAAGTGCAGAATCATTGAACCGGAATTGATAGCTTGAAAGCATTTAGCGCGGGACCCTTCAAAGTGCGGGGCCCGTAGCATTTGTAGATACTTGTGCTACTAAGATAATCCGGTACTAGCTTCAACGAAGTGGGCTTACCGCGTGTAAAAATTAAGAGCTGTCAAATATTCTGCATCGGGGGCGGGTTGAGCCAGATGATTGCGCCAGGAGTATCGTGGGATGATAAAGAGAGCTGGAGGCTGCTTTGCAGCGCCAGAGTTTTTCCTGCTTTTACCAGTTGAACTCTCCCATTCGATTATATAAGTTAAGACGTTCTACGCGCTCAATGATTATTACACACGTCCCACGTGACGCGCGCTAATCAATTAACGCTGTCTGCGACACGTTTACAAAGATCCTCCCTCATAGCCTTTAAGGACGGTTGGGACAAGTGCTGTTAGCGAGCACCTATAAAGGCGCACGAGGGGGTGGGTAGCCAACACCATGCTCAAACAGCCTTTGTCTCCCCAGTGGCGATGCTTTTACACTCCGCACCAGCTACTCATTTGAGGCCGAGTCGACCTAGGGGAGGCACCAGGACCGGTTCAGATAATCGTCACTGGTGGTGTTGGCCGTGAACGGGAATCGAACTCGGGTCGCCGGATTCGTAGCGCAACGCGCTAACCGCTGCGCCACCGCTCCCCACACGTGTACATACACGCGCACACTCAACGCAGCAACAATAGCAGCATTACCATAAATATGTTACATCGTAACTACGCAACACATAATCAGCAGCAGGCATGAAGACCTCCCCAAGATGCTGCTATTTCTCAAGATCTGTGATGATATAAACAAAATTATTAAACTACATTTTTGTTTTTTACAAGGTAAGGCCCTCAACTGAGCTATGTAGCTATTTTTTTATAAGCGACCCGGCCACAAATGATAGCTCAACGAAAGTGGCTTATCACGTGGGAATTCAGAGCAGCCAAATACGCGTCAAGTTGATTCTAAACGTATGTGGGGAAACCCGGAGAAATTCCACGCGACCACGGGAAGAGTGAGAAACACGCAAACTTCAAATATACAGGCGTCGTCAGGGACCAGATCGAACCCACGACTTTCTGTATAGCGGGTGAGGTAGTTAACATCTCCTAGCCACCTTGGCGCCTGATATGGTTCATCTTGACACGTACAGTTCTTGTTATGTATAACTCGCTACACGTTACTCATTACCTACCGCGTGTCTCAAATACCTGAGTGCCACGTAAATCCAAATTATAATAATTTACTTATTTCTCCAGCAGAGGCACACGCTGAGTCGCATAACTCTTGTTCTGGAGTATCCCGCCACTGCGTTGGGTTTTTAATTTTAAGATATTTTCAGAGAATTCACGATGCGTGTTTATTATATATATTTAATTAATATTATTATACACGTGGAAGGAAACCCGAACGCACGGAGAAAACCCCCCGCGCGCGTGCGAGGGGGAAACGCGACATGCCCGTACAGATGGAATTTAGTTACTTGGCTCTCCAAAACACCGGCGTGCTGTACTAATATACTACACTATACACTACACTATACACTAGTGTTGTACTAGTATATTACACTATACACTACACTATACACTACTGCTGTACTAATATACTACACTATACACTACACTATACACTAGTGTTGTACTAGTATATTACACTATACACTACACTATACACTACACTATACACTAGTATACTACACTATACACTACACTATACACTAGTGTGCTGTACTAGTTTCCACGTTCTCCCCGTGGTCGTGTGGATCTTTCTCCGGGCCCTTCCTGGCTTTACCCCTCCACATTTGGAATCCGCGTCACGCGTTTGGGGTCTTTGACCGCTCTAAATGCCCACGCGATGACAAGAACCCACTTGGCCGAGCTCTCATTTGTGATGGCCAGGTCGCTTCTGAATAAAATAGCTACATAGCTTCAGCGGGGCCTTCCTTACCTGGTTAAATATATATATCTGTTAAAACTGTAGTTTAGTAAAGATGCTCCATGATTAAGTTGCGTCTCTACTGCGCCCTCTAGTGGGGAGGGCCCTTCCATCAGCATGGGGGCGTGAACGAGCCATTTCCGGGCCGCACCATTAACCTTTTATCGAGGGAAACGTGCGAACGTTTGCACAACGTTGCCCCAACGATGGCACGTGGTTGAATCAGTTTAATCAACTTGGGTCTTAGGGGGCGTCCATAAATTACGTCACGCGATTTTTGACCACCCCCCCTCGTCACACGGCGTCACAAAAAGTCAGACCCCCCTCCCCCTCAAATATGACGTCACAAAGCTCTGCCCCCCCCCAAAAAAAAAATATAAAACATGCTTCAAATCGCTTTAAACTATTGTCCTTGTATTGCGTATTTAATGTGGCGCTGCACTCTGATGCTGTAGGAGAAAACAGTTATAAAAAAAGTCAATTTAATTAAGTAGAACGTGTCGTCTATATTTATTTAAAGTTGCGCATTTTGATGTGACGTCACATTTCTCACCCCCCCCCCTCGTCACACATCGTCACAAATGTCTGACGAACCCCCCGCCCCCACCCTAGGTGCGTGACGTCATTCACTGTGCGTCTGTGTCAAGGATACGGAACGTACGGCCGCCCTTTGATAATCCACTGCTGGATTGAAAGCCGCCTAAACCCCATGCGATGGCATTCAACGGGGGAGGGGGGAGTTGTTTAACCAAAGGGGCCGTCCATAAATGACGTCACGCACCTGGGGGGGGGGGAGGGGGTCAGACATTTGTGACGATGTGTGACGAGTGGGGGGTTTGAGAAATGTGACGTAACATCAAAATGCGCAATTTTAAATAAATATAGAATTATAGAAACATCTGAAAGAAGTGGCGGTTCGCATTTATGTATTTATTTATTTGTAAGCCATCTGGCTACCATGAGAGATTCGTTCATGAGGCTATCCACATATACAAGCACAGAGACAATTTCAACCGAGAAAATGGATTCTGGCTTAGCAATCATTGGAAGTATTTGATAAACCATTTCAGGTCTTAATTGATTGTTCACGCTTACGGTGGCTTTCAGACAGCATGCATTAATTTTTCGTCTCCCCCCTCCTCTTTTCAGAACATAGATGGACTCGTCCTTCTAAATAAACTGCCAAATCGCTGCGCGTGGCGCTGACGTTTTTTATTATAAATAAATAAAGGCACCGTTAATAAATAAATATATACAAACCGCCACTTCTTTCAAATATTTCTTGCCGTTGGTTTTTTCACACCTGATGACGACCGTTTGTGTTATGGTCGAAACGTCGTGAGAATTTTTATTGTTTTATATATATATTATTATTTTGTTGTTTCCCTTCAACGTGACTTTACCGAAAGAGCTAAGAATATGAATTACTGCAGTCACGAAAGCTTTAAATCAAAATATATAATTGTTATAACAACACTCCTACAACATCAGAGTGCAGCGCCACGTTGAATACGCACTACAATGACAATAGTTTAAAGCGATTTGAAGCATGTTTTATTTTCAAAATGGAAATATGGTTTTGGGGGGGTGTGGGGAGAGGGGCAGAGCTTTGTGACGTCATATTTGAGAGGGGGGGGGGGGGTCGTCTGACTTTTTGTGACGCCGTGTGACGAGGGGGGGGGGGTCAAAAATCGTCCAAAATCGCGTGACGTCATTTATGGACGGCCCCATACTTCACCACCAGGGTTATTGCGGGAGCAGTCGAGGTGAGGTACAACAAGATAAGTGGTGTGATGATGGCGCTGCATTGTTGATCTCTGCTGCCGACAATGTAGCACCGCCCGCAGGCAGCCTGTGACAACCTTGCATGCACATTGGTCGCCCATCCAAGCACGAGGCAGGCTCAATGCTGCAGCTGGGCTGACAGGAGTGCAATGAAACTACACTTCTCATTATTTTGTGCAATTCACAAGGGCCATTGCCCAAAACGTCGCCAATTATAGGTTAGATGTTTAATTTTAAAACCACTCACACACACACACGGAGTGTTGTTATTGGCCCAATGTATTGAGCGGTTTGCCAGGTGTGCAACAGGCATCGGTGCGGGGTGGGGCGAAGGGGAGACAAAGGCGGCCGGGCGTGGTTGCGTCCACGTGGTGAGAAGAGGTGGGTGGGGAGCGGTGGCGTAGTGGTTAGCGCAACGCTGCGCTACGAACCCGGCCACCCGAGTTCGATTCCCACTTGTGGCCACCAATGGCGGTGACGATAATTATCATGACCCTGTCCTGGGTCTCCCCTAGGTCGACTCAGCCTCAAGTGGGTGCCTGGTGTGCGCTGTGTGAAGATCGTCACTGGGGAGACAAAGGCGGCCGGGCTTGGTGCTGGCCACCCACCCACTCCGTGTGCCGTGGTGGACTTCACAGGCTGATAAGGGGGAGTGAGGGAGGGGTGTGCGGGGGTTGTGGGGAGGGGTTGAGGGGAGTGAGGGGAGTGAGGGGAGGGGTTGAGGGGAGGGGTTGAGGGGAGGGGTTGAGGGGAGGGGTTGAGGGGGGTTGAGGGGGGTTGAGGGGAGGGGTTGAGGGGGGTTGAGGGGGGTTGAGGGGGGTTGAGGGGGTTGAGGGGGTGAGGGGAGGGATTGAGGGGGGTAGAGGGGGTTGAGGGGGTTGAGGGGAGGGGTTGAGGGGAGTGAGGGGAGTGAGGGGAGGGGTTGAGGGGGGTAGAGGGGGTTGAGGGGAGGGGTTGAGGGGGTTGAGGGGGTTGAGGGGAGGGGTTGAGGGGAGTGAGGGGAGGGGTTGAGGGGAGGGGTTGAGGGGGAGTGAGGGGAGGGGTTGAGGGGAGTGAGGGGAGGGGTTGAGGGGGGTTGAGGGGAGTGAGGGGAGGGGGTGAGGGGAGGGGTTGAGGGGGGTTGAGGGGAGTGAGGGGAGGGGGTGAGGGGAGGGGTTGAGGGGGGTTGAGGGGAGTGAGGGGAGGGGGTGAGGGGAGGGGTTGAGGGGGGTTGAGGGGAGTGAGGGGAGGGGGTGAGGGGAGGGGTTGAGGGGGGTTGAGGGGAGTGAGGGGAGGGGTTGAGGGGTGTGAGAGGAGGGGGTGAGGGGAGGGGTTGAGGGGGAGTGAGGGGAGGGGTTGAGGGGGAGTGAGGGGAGGGGTTGAGGGGAGTGAGAGGAGGGGGTGAGGGGAGGGGTTGAGGGGGAGTGAGGGGAGGGGTTGAGGGGGAGTGAGGGGAGGGGTTGAGGGGGAGTGAGGCGAGGGGTTGAGGGTGTGGGGGCGTGGCAGCGTGACGTCACGGTCACCATGGCGCCCCGGCGCGAGGCGTCACGGCCCCGGGGCGGCCGCGAGTGATCGAGACAGCGCGCGGCGGCAGCAACCACCACAGCGACAGGCGGCGGCAACAGGCGGCAACAAACAGGCGGCCACGGCTACAGCGCGACAACTACAGACTACAACAACAACATACTGCTCCAGCTACAGCAGCTACTACTACAGCTACTACAACTACAGCAGCTACAGCTACTACAACTACAGCTACTACAACTACAGCTTCAGCAGCTACAACTACAGCTACAGCAGCTACAACTACAGCTACTACTACTACAGCTACTACAACTACAGCTACTACAACTACAGCTACTACTACTACAGCTACTACAACTACAGCTACTACAACTACAGCTACTACTACTACAGCTACAGCAGCTACTACTACTACAGCAGCTACTACTACAGCAGCTACTACTACTACAGCAGCTACTACTAAAGCTACTACAACTACAGCTACTACAGCTACAACTACAGCTACAGCAGCTACTACTACAGCGTGGGCGGCACAACCACACTACAACGACAGCTACAGCGTGAAAACTACAGCCGAATTACAGGCTTGAGCTACAGCCATTAACTACAGCTACAGCCACGAACTACAACTACAGCCACTAACTACAGCCACTAACTACAACTACGAAACTACAGTCTCGAACTACAACTACAGCCACTAACTACAACTACAGCCACTAACTACAGCCACGAGCTACAACTACAGCCACGAGCTACAACTACAGCCACTAACTACAACTACAGCCACGAGCTACAACTACAGCCACTAACTACAACTACGAAGCTACAGGCAAAACAACAGGCAGAAAGGACTACAGTCATCCCGTGGATGTGAGGCGTCGGTTAACAAGATTTGATTTGCAGAGCTGTGAGGTGGTGTGTAGGTTCCGTGAGTAACAACAACAGCAACAGCCCAACCTCCCTTCTTACCCCCGCCACGTCCGTCTTTGTATCTCCCGATTTGGAGGTGTCGCACTTTTTGATTGGTTTGGAGGTTGTTGGTTTACGCGACCGCGCTCGCAACTTCTCATCAACTTCGATACCGTTATAAATAATAACGATAACGTTGTTAATATTTGTCATTCACGTGTCTCCGTCTTCATTAATTTTTTTTGCTGAAATTGGGTTAATGTTAATTCGTTTGTGCCGACGCCTTTTCCTCGGCTATCATCACAACCACTTTGGGGTGTTGTTACAATGACCAACTTAGCGACGTGATAATTGGTCATCTTCGGTCGGATTAATTAGCAGTTAACAACAGTTGCAATTGACATTGTGGTGAACGTTACGATGGTCACCACCCACGTAACTTAACGCGCATCAGGTGGTTATAATTGTGATTAGTTTCCTTGCAGTCGGTGTACTTGCTGTCATTGGCCTCGTTCCAAATTGAATGATTCTCCTGGTGACCTGCTCGATCAGCCCATCCGATCCATCACAGCGGAAAATTATCATCGTCAATCTCATCGTCAATCTCATCATCATCAATCTCATCATCATCATCAATCTCATCATCAATCTCATCATCATCAATATCATCATCATCAATCTCATCATCATCAATCTCATCATCAATATCATCATCAATCTCATCATCATCATCATAAATCTCATCATCAATATCATCATCAATATCATCATCAATCTCATCATCATCATAAGCCTACACAATCATTACAATCATCATTATCAGTTCGTATCCACGACGATGAGATACCCCGCGGCGTGCGCGTTGGCTGCCACTGTGAAGTGATGGCAGGGCAGCAGCGAGGGCAGCAGCAGCAGCAGCACTGCAGCTGCCCCGGGACTGCCCCTGGGACTCTCCTCCTCTTCCTGATGATGATGATCATAACGCTGATGATGGCCGGGATAGCGCCTCGAGTGGATGCTGGGGGCAGCACGGCGAGCCCGGACTGCCCCGCCGCCTGCACCTGCCGCTGCCCTCTGCCGCCGCTGCTGCCCGCGGAGTGCTCGGTGAACTGCACGCGGGGACAGCTGCAGCGGCTGCCCCCTCTGCTGCCCGACAACACCTCGTCACTGTGAGTGTGAGCGGGCAGCGTGCCAGGGTCAACCCTGACTCGCCAACACTGACACAGCAGCACCTCGTCACTGTGAGTGTGAGCGGGCAGCGTGCCAGGGTCAACCCTGACTCATCAACACTGACTCACCAACACTGACACATCAACCCTGACTCGCCAACACTGACACAGCAGCACCTCGTCACTGTGAGTGTGAGCGGGCAGCGTGCCAGTGTAAACCCTGACTCGCCAACACTGACACAGCAGCACCTCGTCACTGTGAGTGTGAGCGGGCAGCGTGCCAGTGTACACCCTGACTCGCCAACACTGACACAGCAGCACCTCGTCACTGTGAGTGTGAGCGGGCAGCGTGCCAGGGTCAACCCTGACTCATCAACACTGACTCACCAACACTGACACATCAACCCTGACTCGCCAACACTGACACAGCAGCACCTCGTCACTGTGAGTGTGAGCGGGCAGCGTGCCAGTGTAAACCCTGACTCGCCAACACTGACACAGCAGCACCTCGTCACTGTGAGTGTGAGCGGGCAGCGTGCCAGTGTACACCCTGACTCGCCAACACTGACACAGCAGCACATCGTCACTGTGAGTGTGAGTGGGCAGCGTGCCAGGGTCAACCCTGACTCATCAACACTGACACATCAACCCTGACTCATCAACACTGACACAGCAGCACGTCGTCACTGTGAGTGTGAGCGGGCAGCGTGCCAGGGTCAACCCTGACTCATCAACACTGACTCATCAACACTGACACATCAACCCTGACTCGCCAACACTGACACAGCAGCACCTCGTCACTGTGAGTGTGAGCGGGCAGCGTGCCAGTGTAAACCCTGACTCGCCAACACTGACACAGCAGCACCTCGTCACTGTGAGTGTGAGTGGGCAGCGTGCCAGGGTCAACCCTGACTCATCAACACTGACTCACCAACACTGACACATCAACCCTGACTCATCAACACTGACACAGCAGCACCTCGTCACTCTGAGTGTGACTGGGCAGCGTGCCAGGGTCAACCCTGACTCATCAATACTGACACATCAACACTGACTCACCAACACTGACACATCAACACTGACTCGCCAACACTGACACAGCAGCACCTCGTCACTGTGAGTGTGAGCGGGCAGCGTGCCAGGGTCAATCCTGACTCATCAACACTGACTCATCAACACTGACTCGCCAACACTGACTCGCCAACACTGACACAGCAGCACCTCGTCACTGTGAGTGTGAGCGGGCAGCGTGCCAGGGTCAACCCTGCCTCATCAACACTGACTCACCAACACTGACATAGCAACACTGACTCGCCAACACTGACTCATCAACACTGACACAGCAGCACCTCGTCACTGTGAGTGTGAGCGGGCAGCGTGCCAGGGTCAACCCTGACTCATCAACACTGACTCATCAACACTGACTCGCCAACACTGACTCGCCAACACTGACACAGCAGCACCTCGTCACTGTGAGTGTGAGCGGGCAGCGTGCCAGGGTCAACCCTGACTCATCAACCCTGACTCGCCAACACTGACACAGCAGCACCTCGTCACTGTGAGTGTGAGTGGGCAGCGTGCCAGGGTCAACCCTGACTCATCAACACTGACTCACCAACACTGACACATCAACCCTGACTCATCAACACTGACACAGCAGCACCTCGTCACTCTGAGTGTGACTGGGCAGCGTGCCAGGGTCAACCCTGACTCATCAATACTGACACATCAACACTGACTCACCAACACTGACACATCAACACTGACTCGCCAACACTGACACAGCAGCACCTCGTCACTGTGAGTGTGAATGGGCAGTGTGCCAGGGTCAACCCTGACTCATCAACACTGACTCATCAACACTGACTCATCCATACTGACTCGCCAACACTGACACAGCAGCACCTCGTCACTGTGAGTGTGAATGGGCAGCGTGCCAGGGTCAACCCTGACTCATCAATACAGACACATCAACACTGACTCACCAACACTGACTCACCAACACTGACTCATCAACACTGACACAGCAGCACCTCGTCACTGTGAGTGTGAATGGGCAGCGTGCCAGGGTCAACCCTGACTCATCAATACTGACACATCAACACTGACTCATCAACACTGACACAGCAGCACCTCGTCACTCTGAGTGTGAATGGGCAGCGTGCCAGGGTCAACCCTGACTCATCAATACTGACACATCAACACTGACTCATCAATACTGCCACATCAACACTGACTCATCAACACTGACACAGCAGCACCTCGTCACTGTGAGTGTGAATGGGCAGCATGCCAGGGTCAACCCTGACTCATCAACACTGACTCATCAACACTGACTCATCAACATTGACACAGCAGCACCTCGTTACTGTGAGTGTGAATGGGCAGCGTGTCGCAGTCAACACTGACACCAATACTGACCACCAGCGCTGACACAAACACTGACACCAAGCCTGGTGCAGATACTGGCACCAACACTGGCACCAGCACTGGCACCAACACTGGCACCAGCACTGGCACCAGCACTGGCACCAACACTGGCACCAACACTGGCACCAACACTGGCACCAGCACTGGCACCAACACTGGCACCAGCACTGGCACCAGCACTGGCACCAACACTGGCACCAGCACTGGCACCAGCACTGGCACCAACACTGGCACCAACACTGGCACCAGCACGTCAACGCTGACACCGATACCAACTGTGACAGCATCCATGACCCCAACACTCACTGACACAACAACACCTCCTGACCGCGCGTGCACGGGCAACTTTGGGATACAGTAGGCCATGGTGGGTTGACACTGACCACCAGTATGTTCACACTTGACACCGGTCTGTCAATAATGACCACCAGCATGTCAACACTGACATCACACCGCCAACGACATTCCAAGACTGACACTCGCATGTGCGGACTCACAACAACAGTGACACCGACAGTGACACCGACACTGTCACCAACACCGATAACAGCATGTCAATAATTACTGCCACTATAGCAGCTCACACGTGTGGGGTCAGTATTCACACGCTGGTGTCAGTGTCGGTGTCAATGTTGGCGTCAATGCCATTGTTGGGTGTCGGTGTTGGTTTTATGCACCGGTATGAAACATTCAGGCCGGCCTGCCTACCTACGATCCGTCCATGGTTTAACCAGACCCAGATCGTGTGGGGAGCTCACAGATCCTTTAAAGATCTGGACACAGTCCCATCGGGGAGCTCCTCCGGCAAGCGAGGCTGCGTTGGCTTGGCTTGCTGGCTTCATGACCCAAGCAGCTTGTTTGGGCCGCATAGAGGGGACTTAACAGGCGCGGCACGGGCTAGAGAAGAGATGGAGTGATGTGGTACAGGAGGATGTGGAGCTGAGTGGACTTGCCGATGACTGGTACCAGCGGTGTCAAGATCGGCCTCTGTGGAGGAGGTTCGTATAGGACGCTACTGGAGTTGGAGGCAGTCGCCCTCCAGCAACAACGGAGGGCAGAGGAGCGACGCTCACAACAACGAGCGGAACGGCCGGGCGGTTAAAATACAGAAAGTTGGCACAGTGGGAGCACAGTTGGTGCATCTACCGGTCATCTCAGTCAGTCAAACCATGGCACCTGCATGGTTTATTCAGTGACCTCCTGCCAGCGAGCGTTCGACACTTAACGTGGCCTCAAAGTGTACCTAGCCTGGCACAGGCGCCGTGGTGACGTCACTCTCACTTAGTGGCGATCAGCGGTTGTTGTTCTGTTGTCAGTGTTGGTGTCAGTGTTGGCATGTTAGTGTCAGTGTCCGATATGAGTTCTGATGTCAGCTTTAACATATTAGTGTCAGTGTTGGTGTCAATGCTGGTGTCAGTGTTAACATGTTAGTGTCAATGCTGGTGTCAGTGTTAACATGTTAATGCCATTGATGTCAATGCTGGTGTCAGTGTTAACATGTTAGTGTCAGTGTTGGTGTCAATGCTGGTGTCAGTGTTAACATGTTAGGGTCAATGCTGGTGTCAGTGTTAACATGTTAATGTCCTTGATGTCAATGCTGGTGTCAGTGTTAACATGTTAGTGTCATTGGTGTCAATGCTGGTGTCAGTGTTATCATGTTAGTGTCAGTGTTGGTGTAAATGTTGGTGTCAGTGTTAACATGTTAGTGTCATTGATGTCAATGTTGGTGTCAGTGTTGGTATGTTAGTGTCAGTGTCCGATATCAGTTCTGATTAAAGCTTTAACATGTTAGTGTCAGTGTTGCTGTCAATGTTGGTGTCAATGTTTACATGTTAGTGTCATTGGTGTCAATGCTGGTGTCAGTGTTAGCATGTTAGTGTCATTGATGTCAATGCTAGTGTTAGTGTTAACATGTTAGTCAATGCTGGTGTCAGTGTTAGCATGTTAGTGTCAGTGTTGGTGTCAATGTTGGTGTCAATGTCTACATGTTAGTGTCATTGGTGTCAATGCTGGTGTCAGTGTTAACATGTTAATGTCAGTGTTGGTGTAAATGTTGGTGTCAATGTTTACATGTTGTTGTCAGTGTTAGTGTCAATGCTGGTGTCAGTGTTAACATGTTAGTGTCAGTGTTGGTGTCAATGCTGGTGCCAGTGTTAACATGTTAGTGTCATTGATGTCCATGCTGGTGTTAGTGTTAACATGTTAGTGTCATTGGTGTCAATGTTGGTGTCAGTGTTAGCATATTAGTGTCAGTGTCCGATATCAGTTCTGATTAAAGCTTTAACATGTTAGTGTCATTGTTGGTGTCAATGCTGGTGTCAGTGTTAGCATGTTAGTGTCAGTGTTGGTGCCAATGCTGGTGTCAGTGTTAACATGTTAGTGTCATTGATGTCAATGCTGGTGTCAGTGTTAACATGTTAGTGTCAGTGTTGGTGTCAATGCTGGTGTAAGTGTTAGCATGTTAGTGTCAGTTCTGTTGTCAGTTCTGTTTTCAGTGTTAACATGTTAGTGTCATTGAGGTCAATGTTGTTGTCAGTGTTAACATGCTAGTGTCATTGATGTCAATGCTA